TTTTAGTTTTTGATATGTCTTGAAAGAGAAAACACTGCTCTTTATTGCGATATATCACAGTATCATGGTAATACTACATTTGGCAGGTAACTCTAATAGCTTTGATGACTTCGTACTGATCGTCTTGGGTCCAATCACATTGCTTTACATGTAATTATATATGTATATAACATTCGTATTGGCTATCATTATACGCGCTCCCTGTTAATGTACTATAGGCTACTCACCAAACAATACTATTATTCCAAATATTCAATAACATTTAACATATTCAAGATCACCCAGACGAAAATTCCATCTTATGAGTAATTTAAACTGTTGTTACAAAGTACATATTTGTAATTAAATGCATGTTCTAAGTTCTAGATAAACGTATTAAAAGTTGCGGAGAAAATAATCCCTCAAAAGTGTAACCTGTCTATTTTTTTTTGAAACCAGTATTCTAGGAGCATAACATGGACATTTTACAACTGTTTTTGCCTTGAATGTGACAGTACGGTGACTGTTCTATGTTCCAACACCCCTATTTTCCGACACTCCTATGTTTGGACAACCCGTATATAAGATTGTGTTATATAGGGTTAGGTATAGGAATATGTGCAGTCGGAACACAGGGGTGTCAGAACATGGAGATGTAACCGATAGTACAGGCAACTGTTTTAACAAAAATGATACAAAATAAATGTTTAGGTTAATCCTTTTAGTTTACCATTTTTTAAAGACAGTAAACAGTTTGTGTTTTGAGAAAAACAATAATATCGAATTAAAAAGAAAAGGGCAAAAGAAAAAACGTGCAATTAAAAACCTTAAAATGGGTAAAAAAAAAAGCAAAAAAAATAAGAAAAATGACATCACCAATGATTAATCGGTCTGTTTTCATCAGAAACCAATTAACATTTGGAGAGACTGAAAACGAGGCCACAAGCAGACGGATAATTGTTTTGTTTCTTTGTGTCGATTACCGCAGTTACTACATTATGTATGATGGGTGCTTTAATGGTATGTTCACATCAGGCAAATCAACTGTCAAAATGGCGAAATACCAAAGCTCATAGCAAACCTGGTGTGAGGGGTTGATCTTTTCTATAAACAAAAATGGACATTTCTTAAGATTAAAAATGGACAGCTCAATAACGGTTCCATGCTGAACTCGAGGTGGTTCTTCGGACCCTCCCCACCAGAACAATCAAACCGAGAACACATGTAATTACTTTTGTACGAGAACAGCAAAAAAAGATAAAGTGTAAACCTCAGGTGGATTTTAAAACCTTTTCAGTATTCATCTCAACATTCCACCACTGATCACTCAACACAGTTTTGTTTTGAAATGTCTTATTAGTCATTTCATTACACGCACGTGTCTGATATGAGTCAAGTTTTGCAGTCAATATCAAAACTAAGTGTAAAGGAACGCTATTGAAAGTCGTGGGCATCGCGTGCCAAAAAAAAGCTCCTTCTATAGTTACGGTAATTATTGAGAGCACTATTTACCAACAGTTGTTTGTATCACGGAGAGTTCTTAATTTGAAACAAATTTCGGATATACGAATTACGAACAGGTCCGTTTAATGAAAAAAACGTCTATAATTTATCCCTCACGAGTCGAACAAAATTCTACATCTGAAACTTTAAAGTGAGTTTTGGCTACTTGTGCAACTTACTAAATCTTGTATCTTCTTTTATAATGTTTACTTCATTGCATATTGCCCGGGCATTTAATTTAAAAATCGATAATCTACCTGAATAGCCCACCTTTGTGAGTGTAAACAGTTGTGTTTAATTAGAGATTGAAAATGCAATAAAAACACCTTTCAACTACCTACCCAAAAGGCTAAAGTACATACAAATAATAATAATACTCGAAAAAGGTGACATCACTATGGATTAATAGAACATTTTCACTGTTTCCATAACAAAAAAAATCATTGACATTTGGTGAGATTGAAAACGAGGCCACAAGCAGACGGATAATTGTTTTGTTTCTTTGTGTAGATTCCCGCAGTTACTCCATTATGTATGATAGCGCAGCTCAAATGGTTGCTCATCATATCAGGCATAACCACTTTTTATAATTACAAACTGCTTAAAGGGAATGTATATGTACATCATTGGCTTTTGCTGTAATTTTCAGAAATGAACTATTTGGAGGGTTAGTATAATAGGTCCAAATATTGTTACACTGACATGTTTGAAGTATTGTGTTCGAAAATGCAGGAAAAACCAAGAAAAACACAAATGTTCAAGTAGTCTGGTTCCTTGACTCCACTAAAGATGAAATAGATCGAAAATGCCGGAAAATTGTAAGGTAAGGGAACCAGTCTAGCTGGCCTGCACCCGTTCATGAACATGGAACCAAAAGCAAACAAAATTTGGACCCCAAAAAATGGTAAATTTGGAGCAGCAGTTGAAAAATAGTTCGTTTTTTTTTCCAATGGTGGTCGGCCGACCGCAGTTGGAAATGTATACAAAAGTATCAGTTTTCTTGAAAATGACTTCACATCAGGTGCCATAATTTTACAGGATGCTTTTTCGACATCCTAGTAAGGTATTTCGTAACAACTTGGTAGTTTTATTTTTCGATGTTTGCCAATGTTGCATTTCCCTTTAAATTTCGTCCGGAAAAGATCATCTCAATTTTCGAAAAAGCAGGAATAGGCCCTACATCCCAACTTTAAAAAATGTCATACTTTATGAAATGTGTGCATGACGATGCAGTATTTCGATTATCGCTCAAAAATAGTTGCTAGGGGAGGGGGCGGGTGTTGGGTGCAACCGGCTAGAGATTTTAAGAGCGAGCCAGGCAGGGACGCGTGACTGAGCAAAATCGGGCCAGCGACATCGGCCTGTCGCAAAAAGCGTGTCACGTCAGTCGGCAGGGATGAAGAGCGCCGGCCTATGGGTGAATTAAACTCACCCATGATAAGTGCCCCAACTTCAGAAAGTCAGGAAAAACGCTCACCAGTTATTCTCCAAGGTGTTCGAGACACCATCAAAATTAAAGCTCATTTTGGTCATCTTTCCTTTTCTTTTCAGTTTTTGGGGGTAAGTATAGATGATTTTGGGAGAAATTTCCATCCGAATAATGATCACCCCTTAAAAATAGTCCTGAAGCCCATCGCCATTTTGAAAAACGGTGCCTAGATAGAGGGGGGGGGGGGGATTGCATCATTTTTAAAAGCAATTTCTATGCACAATCTGTTTGACAGAGCTGGGGGTGGGGGGTGGTGTGACCGCCGAACACCCTGGATCCGCGCCTGGGCGACTCTTGTACAGTGCTAGTGTGAATTCGATAGTATGTGCCGGCGCAACGTCAGATCATACGTCGTGTCAAAAAAAGTCTTTCTTACGATCCTCAATAACTATGTTGTTTACAAATAGAACTGAACAAAAAAAATCCAAAATTTCTGTGAGCTTCAAATGAGACATCGCACGAACACAAAAACTCGGCCCATGGCAATTCAAGCAATCAATTAATTTCAACTTTGAAATTAAGTGCAGGACGCTCCTTAAGTTATTCGTTAATTCTGAATATTGCAAGCAATTTTAGAAGTGAAGCGCGCCATTTCAAACCAACTTTTAAAACTGTGTAAAGGCCTACAAAAGCAAACCAGCAAATAGATTTGTTAGGGACCATTCAAAAGACTGTCAATGTTTTTAAATTTAAATGTTAAATTTTTTTCCCCAAATTGTGGGTGGGTGGGTCAAGGTAAATAATTGAAAATCCAAATTCACTTTTCATCAAAAAAGCAAGAAAAAAACAAACAAAAATCTAGATATTTTGACTTGCCTATGTGTGTGAATTTTGGTTTAAAAACCCGCTGTGTTAAGTTCTCGGTGGGAAGAATAAGGGGAGTAGCCAAAACAAAATAAATGATAATAACAGGCTCTCACTCCAGGATTGGATCGATTGACTGAGTATTGACTGGGTGGGTGTGACTAGGGTAATAAGTCAAACTTACAGACGGTCACCCTATGCCGAAGCTATAATTTATTTCAAAGCAGGACATTTGGAGATTTTCCCAATAGATCGGCCTACTCGGACATCAGGATCGAGAGTCGGCGTCACGCGTCGCAACTGGGGATTTTAACAATGGAACTCCGGTATATCCCGAAATTATGGTCTTAAACGCTGCTATTATATATTTACATATTTCTGTACGTAATTTTTTTGTCTAACAGCAATACAAATGTCATTCTCCACGCACCCTACATTTCGATTTTCCAATGCAAGTTACCTCGCTCTAGAGTAAAATCCTGGCCGCCACGCCCAGTCAGGAATGGTTGCCTAGTGGCCCCACCCAACAGTGGCGTAGCCACGGGGGGAGGGGGGGCGTGGGGGGCGACAGCCCCCCATGAAACCTTGTCCCCCCCCCCCCAGTCGCCCCCCCCCAACTGAGATTTTGAGTTTCTAAAAAAATTATCATTGATCTACATGATGCCCCCACCCATGAAATGTTCCAGCCCCCCAGCCCCCCCCCCCCCCCCCCCCCCCCCCCCCCCCCCCACTGAAAAAATCCTGGCTACGCCACTGCGACCCAACCATTCTGGATCCATATCCATATCCGACTTTAACTCATTGGTGTTAAGCAGGCTTCAGATCTCAAATAACATCGCAATGAAGAGGGAAAACTCGAATCACAAAGTTGAAAAACGTATTCATTTTTCCCTTGGGGTGGGATGGAGACGTGGAGGAGTAGCACACGTGTTGAGGTTCAACCCCTGCCTCGGCGCCGCGCTTCTTTTAGATCTATCGATGCATCTGGATACAGCAGTCCAATCCAATGCATGGTCCGTCTCCTAGGGCGCCCCACCCCGCGGGCGACAGATTTTGGAAGGGGTCACTAATTACTCTACACTGAAAAATGGAATTGACTGTAAATTTATGTGTATATCTTCTTTTTTTTGGCTCGAATATTAATTACCATGAATATCGGAATAATTCAATTATGCATTTTCACATGTACTGCACGTTGAAAATAAAAACAGCAGCTGTTGTAAAATATACCCACAATGCACCGGGTTATCTAGTGGCGTAAAAGCAACATGGCGGACGCCTTGTGAAGGAAAATGTTACGAACCAACGAATGCCACCGTGCGTGTTGAACAGCGGCGTTGAACATCTAGCCAACGAATTTGTTTTGGTTTGACTTTTGTGATAAATTCAGAGGTTCCACTGGAAGAATTTTGGGATGGCACAGTGCACGCAGAGTGCTCAGGAGTTCGTACAGAATTCGTTTGGGCCGACGGTGGCGGTGCTGTGCAGTCACGATGCCGAAGTGCTGGCGCAGAAAAACAACCTTTCGATGGTTGAGATGATACGGCCGTTTAGCCGCCTTACAAACGAGGGTAAACAGGCAAACACTGGCGAAGTCAGTGCCCATAAATTTACTATTGATTATCAGTAAATAATATCATTATTGTGATATTGATAGCTTGGCAACAGCCATGACAGCAGTCAGCAGGCATATTTTTAGACTCCAAATCCAATTCCCATGATTCCAAGAAGTGGGAGTGTCCGTTTTTATTATTTAATTATTTCACACAGTATCAGCAGGTAACCAAGTGAAGTTGGCCTATCGGTAATCCTTACTTTTAGGACCCCGTTCCTCTATAGGAAGGGAAAGACTCACCAAAACAGTTGACTAAATGACACTCAAAATTGACATTCTGATACTTCTTGGCACATCTGAACAATTGGCAATGACACCTTCTTGAATATCAGCAGGTTTAATTTTGTGGAAAGAGGGCAGGGCTTTGATTTATGAGGGAAATTCAGGGGTAAAAGACGACGATGACAACCAGAAAACCGACTCAAAAACCAAGATGGCAAACGTGAAAGCTCGATGCGATGAAAGCTCGATGCTGATTGGCTGATAAAAAGTAAACATCTTATTTATTTTCAGTCTGGTTCCCAGACCAACAGGAACAAAATATTCAGGAATAGTCAGAATGTTTTGGTCTGAGAACCAGACTGACTTATTTATTTTTAGTCCGGTTCCCAGACCAAAATATTCAGGAGTAGTCAGAATCTTTTGGTCTGGGAACCAGACTAATTAATTTTTTTAGCAGCCAATCAGCATCGGGCTTTCATTATGTAGGGCTTTCACGCGTGTGAGAACTACAACATGCACGTCTGACTGCAAAAAAAGGTAGGAAAGTCACATTTTCTTCGAAAGTGCTTTCAAAACTACAACTAACATGAGTTTATATGAAGAAAAAAGACTGCTTTACTGCAAAAGTCACTTTGGTACTGGACAGTCATCTGCAAAAGTCAGTTTTGAACAGAACTTGTAAAAAATAGAGGTGTCCTAAAAGTAAGGATTACCGGCCTATCTGCCTATGCTGCCACCAGACCACTGAAGGGGGAATCTTTTCAAACAGCTGGACATGTACCAGTCTAGTCTTTAAGCTTCAAATTAAAATAATTTGGCTTCAATAGCAGATGTGTAAAATATTAAAGGAGACTTCCTTTAAGTTAGCCCCATAAATGTGGCCAATTTACTGGACTACCTCCGTAAACATAGGCCACACATCCACATGTAGGAAAACGTGTCGCACTTTGCCAAATTTAGATTTTCACATTTAGACTTAGTTTGTAGGGTTTTTTTTCTCTTTAGAAGCATACTCACCCTCTTGATACATGTGATAGGCTAATCAGAAAGTGCTGCCTTTTTTAAATGTCTACTTTTCATGAAATTTCCAGATTCATTTGCACAAGTTTGCGTATCAAAATTTCAACACGAAATTTCACAAAAATTAGACATCTGAAAAAGGCAGCACTTTCTGATTAGCCTATAAAGAGGGTGAGTATGCTTCTATTTCTAAAGCAAAAAAAACTACAAACTAACTAAGCCTAAATGTGAAAATCAAAATTTGACAAAGTGCGACACGTTTTTGTACATGTGGAAGTGTGGCCTATGTTTACGGAGGTAGTCCAGTAAATAGGCCACATTTATGGGGCTTCCTTTAACCTAGCCCCACCTGTGTGGCCTCCGTATTAATGCGCTGTACATTAGGCCACACGTCTGGATTCCCAACCTACTGAGAAGTTTAGTCCAAAAGTGGTGCATATGGACTCCAGAAAGATGTCTAAATTCCTCGAAAAATTTGAAGAAAGATTACCTAATCTACCCGGAGGGCAAAAGATGAGAAATTAAAGAATACAACCATATACAGTGGTATGTAAAAAAAAAGTGCCAAAAAAGGGTGCGCCAGAGTTTGGGGCTACCTTTAACCCTAACCCAAATCCTCCAAAATCCCCTTTGCAACATGGAGGATTTTGCAGGATTGAGGCTGTATGGCAAAAATGTGCGGCTGATTTTGAAGGATGCACTGTGTCAAGGTCTTGGGCCGGACCATGTGTTGTTTATGCTCAGCCGTGCATAAATTTAGGCCTAGATTATACTTGAAATGCCCGCACTGCTCCAGGATGTCACTGGCTCTGCCTCAACATATTAACAGTGATTGCTAGAGGATTTTCCAGGATTGAGGCAGTGAACACCCCTCCAAGGACCACATTCAAGAAATAAAGGATGATTTTGGAGGATTGAGGCCGTGTGCTATTTTAAAATGGAGGCAATTGGAGGATTTTGTAGGATTGAGGTTGCATTCTAGCAAAAATGCCCAGGGAGTTGGGGTTAAAAATTGAATTGGGACTTCAAACTTAGCTAGTGAAACACTGAGGACCTTGTCTTTGTCTATGATAAAAATAAGTTTTGCATGTTTATATGCATTCAAGGTCTCAGTCTGCTCAAACATGTCATCCATGCCATATTAAGCCTCTGTACTGATGACGTCACACTTTGTTTACATGTGTGTTTTCTTATGAGAGCCTGGTGGGGACGACAGCTTTGCAGCCCCGTAGAATGACGTCATCAGTACAGAGGCTTGTTACATGGTAGTTGAGAGGCATTTATCCTAAATTGCAAACAATTGCACAGTTTTCTATAAATCCTTCTGATTGATTTCTCTCCTCGCAGCTCACATCCGAGACCCCTCAGGTCAGCTGCATCCCGTTCGCAACCTGCGTCTGATCCTGAAGGAAATGAACCAGCAGCCGGTCTCCATCTCCCTGATGAGGAGAATGCTGGAGGAGAGCGTTAATAGATGCCAGCCGCCACCCGTTGATGGCAACCGCGGCAACGTCATCACCGTCGGCTCCTATGACCTTCAAATTGGGGGTGGGTAGTTGAAGCAAATTTTAGGGCCTACTTTGAATGATTGTCCTTGGGCACACCACTTCACCCCCACTTGCCTCTGTCCACCCAGGAGTATATTTGGATACCGGCATAAGCTGGGGAGTAACCTGCGATGGACTAGCATCCCATCCAGGGGGAGTAGAAATATTCTCAGTCGTTTCATGCTACTGAAACTGGAGATAAACGCCGGCATGATGGGTCACATTGGCTTTTGACGGACTTAACATTACTTACCTTTACTCTGAATGATTGGTCTTGTGGACACCCTGCATATATATACCAGTGTTGCGGTCGAGACCTGGAAGTCCGAGACCAAGACAGAGACCTACCCTACCCTTCCCAAATCCTCCAAAATCCTCTTTGCAAAATGAAGGATTTTGAAGGATTGAGGCTGTATGGCAAAAATGTGAAGCTGATTTTGGAGGATGCACTGTGTCAAGGTCTTGGGCCAGACCTTGTGTTGTTTATGCTCAGCCGGGCATACATTTAGGCCTTCATTATACCTGAAATCCTCCGCACTGCTCCAGAATGGCACTGGCTCTGTCTCGACATATATAGGCAGTGATTGCTGGAGGATTTAGCAGAATTGAGGCAGTGGTCACCCCTCCAAGGACCACATTCAAGAAATAACTGATGGTTTTAGAGGATTGAGGCTGTATGCAATTTTTACATGGTGGCATATTGCAGGATTGAGGTTGCATGCTAGCAAAAATTCCTAGGGAGTTTGGGTTTAACCCTTTTTACTGTATAAAGCCCCCTTTGTATTTTGGGGGTTTATATTTCTACTGTACAGTGTGTATTCCAATTCATATTTAATGTAACTGTTATTCGGTATTTCTTGTCATTATTTCCAGCCTCTACAGCTTGGTATGAAACATACCGTGATGTCTTCCTTGAGCTCTTGACCCCGTCAGATCACGAGTTCATACAACACTACGTAGCCTGTATCCTTTTCAGAGAATTTTCAGAGCGGTGGGTAGGGGAGGAGGGGGAGGGGGGGGGGGCAATAGAAGAGGTTAAGAGGAATGTCTCAGAAGTTCTTGTTCCTATTAACCCTTACTCTCTGAGGGTAGTTTACTGCATGTCAGTTGGTTATGCCAATGCCCTCCAGCTGCAGTTTATTGGCAGATAGTTTGTCTTAACAGTAAAGGCTCCAATTGGCAGGAGTTGGAGGCCCTGGAGGGTGCCTGATACTGACCAGCTGGGGGCACTCACTTTGTTATCAGAGGACTCTCATTGTTCTCTGTGGCATGTATTGGAGTGCCTGTCCAGTTACCCTTGAAATGACATGGCAGATATTGGAGGGCCATGCAAAAAACATAGGAGATTTTCTTGAGGCACATATTGGCATGCGTTGGAGGGTCTAGTAGGGTAAGGGTTAAACGGATGACACACGTTGGTCAGTTGTCTTTTGGTATGATATATGGTTTATAGCATTTTGTATAATATACTGTAACGATGGTCGGCCAACCATCATTGGAAAAAAAATGACTTTTTTTCAAATACTGCCCCCAATTTACCAAATTTAGTTAGTCCACATTTTGTTTGCAATCGGTTACACATCCATGAACGGGTGCAAGCCAGCTAGTCTACATGTAGTTCCCTGACCTGACAATTCCCTGACATGTAAATTGCCCCATTTTGGATCAGGGAACCAGACTACCTGAACAGCATTTTGTTCTTGGTTTTTCCAGCATTTACGGACACAAAAACTTTAAACAGGTCAGTGTAGCAATATTTGTTATGAAATACTAACCCCCAAATCCATCAATTTCTGAGAATTACAGCAAAGGCATATGCTGTATATAACCTTTAACCCTAACCCACCTCACTCCTCCAAAATCCTCCTGGCGGTTTTGGAGGATTCTAGAGGATTGAGGATGAATGGTGATTGAGTCAAATGAGGATTCTGGAGGATTGAGGATGAATAGTGATTGAAGCACATGAGGATTTTGGAGGATTGAGGATGAATGGTGATTGAAGCACAAGAGGATTTTGGAGGATTGAGGATTAATCCATTTTGAGGCAGGACTGTCTGATGATTTTGAAGAATTTGGCGTTGGTTATCCTTCATTTAATCACGAGTGCAAAGTTTTGGGATGAGAAGGATTGAGGAGGATTGAGGATGAATGCATTTTGAGGCAGGACTGTCTGACAATTTTGAAGGATTTGGCGTTGGTTATCCTTCATTTAAACACGAGTGCAAAGTTTTGGGATGAGAAGGATTGAGGAGGATTGAGGATGAATGCTTTTTGAGGCAGGACTGTCTGACAATTTTGAAGGATTTGGCGTTGGTTATCCTTCATTTAAACACGAGTGCAAAGTTTTGGGATGAGAAGGATTGAGGAGGATTGAGGATGAATGCATTTTGAGGCAGGACTGTCTGACAATTTTGAAGGATTTGGCGTTGGTTATCCTTCATTTAAACACGAGTGCAAAGTTTTGGGATGAGAAGGATTGAGGAGGATTGAGGATGAATGCATTTTGAGGCAGGACTGTCTGACAATTTTGAAAAATTTAGGCGGAGTTGCAAAATTTTGGAAAATTTTGGAGGATTGAGGATGGTTGTAAGCAACAAGGGCCTAGGGGGTTAGGGTTAACCCTTTAGTCAGTGTAATACCTAAAACACATGAAGCAAACTCCTTAACCAATTTCCCTATCACTAGGCATGTTGGTGGTGTCCACCTCCCATGCAGATCCCATGGACCAGTTTGCCAAGCTGAACCAACAGCAGCACTTCCTGCAGCACACCTCCAAATCCCCCTACCCTAAATGGTTGGTTCCAAACATCTTCAAGTACTACGTGCTGGTACATGACAACACAGATGGGGAGGAGGAAAAGTGAGTATGCAGTAGGGGTGTTGTTGTTTTTGAGGGGCATTTATTGCTTCAGTGCATTCACATCCATAGAGTTCAGTTGGTGTTGATTATACACTTGCAATATGTTCTTAAAGTTTAGGCCAAAAAAAAAAATAAGTCGGTCTCCAAAATGTTCCGTGGTAGCTCCAACAGCGCCCTCTATTTCCGCACCTCCTCAATTTTTTTTACCAAAGAGCACCAAGGAATGGGAAATTGCACCAAGGCAAATGATCGAAAGCACCAAGGCAAATTATGGAGGACACCAATGTACATGAGGACACCAAAAAAGCAAAATAGTACCCCACCTTGTCTGTACAATCCAAGCTTGAAGAAAAAAAAAAAAAGGCCGCGTCAATTCCGGAACTTTGGTCTGACCAGAGACCGAATATTTTTTTATTTTGGCCTTAGAGTTAACCATTTGTCGTTTGTGCATTTTTTCGTTTGAATCAGCAGAAGTGGCCAAAATTTAAAGAAGGGTGCTTACCAACTATCCTGATGAAGTTTTTGCTCTGTGAATGCTGTGTATTCTGAGAAAACAATACTCTACGATCTCAATTTAAATTCTTAAGTTGCAAAGTCATATTTTTGAATTGCGCCTTAAATCAGCATCCGGGACACAGTCTCATTCGGCCAATTACAGCTACATGTATGTGATGTCACGCACTGAACTGTTGAATAATAGCAACCATCTCATTGTGTCAACGCTTGCGCGCGCACCCATTCACGTATTCGCCCAATTACAAACCAACTATTAACGGAAATGTAAACAAAAAAGGTGTTACTTGACGCATCTTTTGAAAGGACCTTCTTTTATTGTTTTCTTCAAAATAACAGCATGCCCGAAGGCATTATTTCACAGAGAGTTTAGTGTCATTAATATCTTTAAAACAAGTTAGCTTTTCAACAATAATTTGGTCTGTTACTTTTTGGATAGCTGCAAATGGTCGACTCTACCTCTTAGTATTAAGTGTACATTCTCTGTAAAAACAAAAGCAAAGAGAGCTGATCTGTCAAAGTAAATGTAGCAATTACTATTTTGCATTCATATAATCAAAGAATGATTATAGGTGATTTTAGTACAAAATCAAGAAGAATAAAGAGACCAACATCCTTGTCATGAACACAGTTACACAGAATATTCAGCTATTATGAACATCCCCTGTTTGGCTACTAAATTTAATATACACTTTGACCGAGTATTAGCAGCCAACAATTGCTATAACGAATGACCGCTACACCAGGAAATCTTTTGTTGGCTCCATTTTGCTTGTTTCAGTCACATTATGTGGAAGTGCATATTACACTCAAATGCATTCTTCAACATGCAACTTTTGGTAACTTGTTAGATTATATTTACGATTTTCTGACCAGTTGCATCTGTTAAAGTTCTAATACATTTGTAGTGAGATAAGTTTTAACCCTAACAATCCCCATCCAGTCAAACTCCAAAGCCACGGTTTGTTGGAATCTGTTGGAGTGAGTACTGCACTAGTAAACTGATTATGCTTTACAATGCGGTTAGGCATACCACCAATATCAGAGCCCAACAGTTTTTGTGTACAGTTTTCCATATGGTGTTGGAATTTGTAGGAGTGAGGAAGGTTCCCAGTAAATCACTCTGGGGATTAGGGTTATGAACATTGAACCTTCAGTTATCCAAAATCTGTATTAACGTTTTGTCGTCAACAGGGCTGAGGCAGTTTACCAGAGCATGAAGTCAACCTATGGCTCCCATGCATGTCATTTGCTAAGGATCAACTCCCGATCCATCCATGCTGTTGAGACCACAGCGCTGAGCAGTGACAGTGGGATCAGCATGCCAGACCCTTGGAGCCAGTACATGAACAAGAATGCTGAGCAAATGGTAAGAAACTGTTAGGAGTACTGTTGTAGTCGAAGTCCATCAAAAGTGTTATCGTCACATGTCCAGTCAAAAGTAAATCTCAAGTTCAGCCACAAGTAAAAACCGGGATGAACAATAACTAAAGAATGCTTTTGTCACAGTTTATTTAAATAGCTTGTGACTAATAACCATAGTTAGACTAAGTTAATCAACTGTTTCTAGTCGACGATGGTTGGACTACTCTAGTCAACTATTCAGGACCAGCCTACCGCGGCTGGTCGTGCCGCGATTTATTGCTGGTTATCAATGGGGCTCGCTCAATGACGGCCATCTCTGCAGGAGAACTGCAACTGCGCATTTTACGTAATCAGGCACGCATTGCGCAGTGTTGAAAATGTTCCAAGCAATCGCGATTGTTGCTCGAAATGTGTTCAAAATACAGTGCAGCCGATGCGCATTATGCAAGTTGACGCTCAAAATGCCAATACACGTGGATGGTCTGTAGGAAATGACGTCATTAGTTTGAATGAGACCTATAGCAATTTCAATAGCATAGTGCAGAGGGGACCAGCAAAAATTGCGGCAAACGAAACCGTGAGCGCTAAATTTCAGTTTCATTGCACAGTCTTTCCATGTTAGTTTACGATGATGTCACTTTTGTCACCATTGTACAATAATATTGGCGATTATGTAAAATGTCCTAGACTATACACAATCACTATTATTTGTGTAAATAAAGAGAAACAACAAGTGTTGAATAATTGTGCGACCGCCATTTTCTGACGGTCGTTGACATGACAGTAGTTAGACGAGAGTCGTTCGCAGTTCAACTTCAGTGCGCCATGGGCTAGGTACGTCACAAACCAACCACTAGTTAACCACTGGTCCTTGCTCGAACTTGCCCTAGCTTGAGACTGGAAGACTCAGCTACAATGCTAGGGACCATTAGAAATGGCTTGTTAAATCATAGCCTTGTAAATGATCGGCGGCATATCCTCGCTATGCATTGCATTAAAAATACAGCGCGAACAGCGACCTCATGCAGCCACTATGCAAATCAGTTGGATCCAGACGAACGCCTTGGTCCAATCGTCCACGAAAGCTTATGGATTTCTTTATTTTGTGCTAGATTTCTAGTGCACGACCTCATATGCGAATACAGATAAGTGTAGGCGGGGCTAATATGTGGAGTGTCCAATCACACCTTGGTAAATACCGACGTCATCAAATTATTTGCAGCTATCCGCCTTTTGCGGACGTGTCAGAAACCACATTTTTTTGTGCATTGGTGTTGTGTACAATGTGAGACACACAACGTGTGTGTAAGTATTATGTACAGTACATGTCACACGTTATCGCTATACGAACTTTCACCGCTATGCAAGTTTCCACGCAACGATTGACCAATAAGAAAATGACTTTTTAAGGTCAGCTTAGGCTATTAGCATAATGAGTACCACCCCCAAAACCTCACATGGACGATTGGACCAAGGCGTTCGTCTGGATCCAAATGATTTGCATAAAATAGTGGTCGCATGAGGTCGCTGTTCGCGCTGTATTTTTAATGCACTGCATGCATAGCAAGGATATATGCGGCCGATCGTTTACCGCGTTCGGACGAATAATGACGAACGCCTTGACCAAGGCTGGTTAAATCACCACATCGCATGGTTATTTCGGAAAGAATTCCACACCTGGACATCACTTGACACCCTGTGCACAAACCCTATAAGAGTGGTCTGAAAAATTCTAAGTGTTTTCTCAGTATTGAAATGCTTCAATATTTTCCCTGCTAAATTTGGCTTTTTAGGACATGTTATTGCTTTCTGATGGTTGATAGGTCATTGTAGGGAAGAATTAGTGATGGCCATAATATGGAATCCTGTCCGTTATTTCACCTGGCACACTATGGGCCAATGGCATTTCAAATAAAAATATTAAAGGGAATATACAACATTTGCGAACATCTAAAAACAAAACTACCCAATTTTTACGAAATACCTTACTAGGATGTTGGTAAATGACATTCTAAAGCATCCTGTAAAATTATGGCACCTGGTGTGAAGTCGTTTTCAAGAAAAGTGGTATTTTTGTATATATTTCCAACGGTGGTCGGCCGACCACCGTTGGAAAAACCTGACTTTTTTTCAACTACTGCTCCAATTTACCTTTTTTTTTTCAGTCCAAATTTTGTTTGCTATTGGTTATATGTTCATGAACGGGTGCAGGCCAGCTAGACTGGTTCCTTTATCATACAATTTTCCGGCATCTATAAATTGATCCATTTCATCTTTAGTGGAGTCAGGGAACCAGATTACTTTAACATTTGTGCTTTTCTTGGTTTTTCCAGCATTTTCAAACAAAAAAGTTCAAACATGTCAGTGTAACAATACTTGATCTATTATCCTAACCCCTCATAAAGTTAATTTCTGAAAATTACAGCAAAGGCCAACGATGTACATTCCCTTTAACATGTATGTGGTATTCCTGTTATAACCACACAGATTGGTGATACAGCAAACTGCGTTGCCAATTAAATTGTCTCTGTGGGTCTAGTAGACCATGGGACAAGGGGTACAACATGAATGCAGCAACTTTTGAATCTTTTTTTTTCTCCTTTTCAATTGTTTCAGGACACTTCAGTGAGTGACATTCCTCAATCCATGGATGATGAGGGCTTTCCCGACAGGGTGATGGAGGCAGGGCCGGAGAATCTTGAAGTTGAACAAGCCTCTGATGCAAGTCTGCTCACCCCTGACAATGCAGACGGTAAGTTGCTACATTGCCATCCGTGTCATTATATCAATTTGGGGTTTTTATTGTCTTTTTTTATTATTATTCTTATTATTTTATTCAGATGAAAATCAACAACAACATACATGCCACACAACAATGCAAAGATAACAAAACCAAGAACAGTTGATTTCTGTCTGGGATAGCCCAAAAAGCTAATTACAGGGGCTTATTTCCATAGGGGTCTCAACACTATAACCCTTCAAGGTATTTTGCTATAAACCATGGTAAATGCAACAACATACAGACAGTTGTTAGAGTGGGCAGCCTGCCCGGCTTAATAAGATCCCGAAGGTCAAAAATTCCTAGACCTTGCATGAAAATTGCCTTGGAGTATGCTGTTGCCAACCACACAAGACCCGACAGTGGCATTGTTTGATAGAACTAGCTCTCATTGCCTCGGGATCGGCTGTTAATGCACTGGTGTTGGTGGCTCGATGCAGTCAGGTCCCACAATGTGTTGCACCTGGCAGGGTTGGGGCTAATGACTGATCGTTTTGCCCACAGATGGACCCAACGACCCTTCACCCGACGGAGTCATCCTCACAAGTCAGGAGAACGCCCTCAACGAGGTCATTGCACACCCCCTGGACCAGTCCAGCGAAACCAAACGATCCCAGGAACACCTGGACCTGTTTGACAGCACCGACGCGGCTTTCAACAGCAACAACAGGATTCTCAACGACAAGCCCTTGCAGCAGGTGACGAAAGGCGCCAACATGCACGGGGCGTGCCTGACGCTGAGCGATCACGATCGACTGCGGATTTTCGTCCACGAGTTTACAGTGCGAGGCCTTTTGCCCTACATCGAGAAAATGATCAGGACATTGAGTGAACAGGTTTGTGTGATTGAGATACAGGAAACCGAGAAAGATTTTTCAGTCTGGCCTCAAAAACACCCTTCATGTTAAATACATTGACATTTCTACTGGGATGAACCATCGCCCATTCCATCGATTGTAATCGTGTGATATACAAAAAAACCTTCCAATTCACAACATGTGTGGGGCATTAACATACCGGTATTTGGCTGACCTGGCAAAATTGTAGGTATTGGAAATTAGGAATTGTTGAATTCAATCAAATGCATTCAAAAATTCACGGACAAAGGTTTCTCTGATGGCATTATTGCTAGTCCTTGTCAGTGATTATATTCATTCCTAGATCAATGTTAAGTCCAGGGAGTGATAGGCAGGGTGGTTCGGGTGGTAAAGTGACTTATGGGTTAAAGCTGAAAATCAAAAATCAAAAAACCTAAAAAAATCCCCCAAATCAATGCTCTTCGTTTTCGATATCCCCTTGATTGTTTTTTGATATTCTTATAATAAAATGCTTAGGAGACTGCAGCTGATGTTTACTGTCAAAGACAAATGATAATTTTTCTGTGCTTTTTTTTAAGCTGGCTGCAAGGAAAGGGCTGCACAGGTCGCTCTTCAGTGCAACCAAGAAGTGGTTTGGTGGTAACAAGCAGGCAGAGAAGGCTGCCATCACAGGGCGGGATATGGGTGGCAAGTAAGTCAACTTGTGGGTCAGACGTTTTTACAGTTGCAATAGTCATTCCTGTCACTTGAAGTCAGTACTGTTGAAATGGTGCATTTCCTAAAATAATGGTCATAGAAGTTCCGGTTATTATTATTATTAGTCAAATTCCATGTGCACCTTTTATTGCGTGTGACATGCGCATGTGCGTGGCGATACCTAAGTATAAACATGATAAATGGCGATTGCGAGCTACGTCTATTCAAAGGAAGTAACTATAACATGTATATCTTGGCACTTGTTACGTGTTTTTCCACTTGCAATTGAAGTTGGACTATTTGACATTCCTCCGGCTTTCCTCTGATATTCCCCAGGTATCTGCGCGAGGCCCCAGAGCTACAGATGAGACGTCTAGCGGACCTGGCCTTCCTGGTGCAGATGTACGAACTGGCCTACACCTCCTACCACACAGCCAAGAGAGACTTTGGCAACGACCAGGCATGGACGCACTATGCTGGAGCATTAGTAAGCAGGCTCTATAGTGGAACCAAATACAACTCATGCATATTGCATAAGCTCATCTAATTATTTAACCCTCCTATGCAAACATACATTCGGTGCAAAGTTGTCCTCTCAGCCAAAATCAATCAAGTGACTGTTTTAAAAAAATTATTAAAGAGATCCGGGCCTACATAAAGCATGATTGACTGGCTGTGACTGTTTATGTAACTTGATACAGCTATGCTTTGATTGTAGGTGATTGATAAGCCAGCTATGTGTACCACTTGCTTGCCTTTGTCTGTGTAGACTGAATTTGACTAGTCACATTGCTTGCTTGATATATGATCTGATTGTTGGTGACTTGCATGTAAAAGGCATGGCAGGGAAGAGGATTGATTTTTTTGACTGTCTGTGACTGTTCAGACAGCAGGAGGGTTAAAAGATCTTCTCTCTGAGTTGTTGTCGAGCTTCACCTCGAAAACATACATTTTTTTTTGGTTGTGCATAAAAGCAAACCAAGCCTCTTCCGGTGTTGCAGACTCCCAATGCCCCCCCCCCCAAAAAAAAGTCACGTGAATGATGAAAGTTTGTTCTGGACAAAATGAATATGTTGAAGAGAATGGACAGTATACACGTGTGAGTCAAAAAAACAGTGACCGAATTAGAAAATTTGAATGCCTGTGTGTAATCTGCAGTTCTCACTCCGGTCATTAGCTTCCAATGGCATTCCATGGACAGCTATAAAAATAGGCTCTTCTAGTAACACACGCATAACTTCTGATAGCATGGATCAATTCCAGTAATTCTTTTTTTTAAGGGGCACTAGGTCCTGAAATCCCCGAAAATGTTGTGTTTTGGATTGTTTACTTATAGCCTATTTCAAACATCTGGTTGAAAGGAAACCAACCTAATGTCTTACCGTTCCGGAGAAAAGACGGGAAAAAAACCCGCTTGTTTACATCGGACATGACGGAGTACGAATATGTTTTTCGTGTCGTTCTCATTTCTTCAACGTCCGCAAAAGGCGAACACTTTACGCATACGAATGAAATCACAACTAGCATCCAAACAGCTCGAATTTATGGGGTCGCAAAAGTGGACCCCGAAATTCGTTCTCGCACGCATAATACAGGAATAACACAAAAACGCCCAGTTTTGAAAGGATAGTTTTGTGGATGTTTATATCCTACTTTGAAAAGTTATTTCCGATTATCATCATCTCGTTCAAAGCGCGTTTTGTAGCCCAATTGGGCTGTTCCAGGACCTAGTGTCCCTTTCAGATGAGTGGAAGAACATGCTCTTTGAAGACATACTTTATTGGTGTATCAAATTTGATTGCTTTTTAACAAAGAACAAAATCCTTAATCCTATCCTTAATCCTGGTCACTTTCTTTTTGACTCACTCTGTATCTTGAAAGGAACAAACTCTTTGCCAAATGTGTACCAAAACGAGAAAGTTTTCACAAGTTCAAATGCACACATATAGACGAATGTGCGCTTTCACGTTTATTCCAAAGAACTAATTTTTACAGAGCGTGCAAAAAACCAAGATTGCGTGCTTTCTCAAATGCCATTTTGTCTAATAATGTATTTTATGGGGTTGGATTTTGTAATTACAGGAAATGGCAGCAGTATCGGCCTTCATGCTAGGCAGCATGCAGAAGGCGTATCCTACACACTACATGGACACCGCTGTCAATACCTACCTCAACACTTGCAAGTAAGTTCACATAATCAGCATTAAAGGCTTTGGAATATAGATCATGTTTTAAAGGGAATATGCAACATTTGTTTCTGCTGTCATTTTCAGAAATGGACAGATTCGGCGTTTACTATTTTATAGCAAATAATTTTATTATGCAATTGTGGCATAGCAACTGAAAATGAGAATCAGGGTGAAAAATGGGTCGATAGGTCAAATTCGGATTCTTCGGGTAATCGATAAAGCATGGATATGTCTTTCATATGGTGTTCATTTTGTCGCAAGGGGCTATGTCGGTCTGACATAATTAACAGTATACTGAAAGAGGGAAGGAGGTGTTTCGTTATTTTCTTCGGCAAAAGGACTTTAGTGTGTAATACTAATGTAACAAAATATGTTCGAAGCGGGCAAATGTACCACTGAAGCGGGGGGGGGGGTAAAGCAAAGTTTATTACTGGCAAAAGGACGTTATGATTTAACATGCACATTTAAGGCAGGGTGAGTTCCCGGTAAAATGTCGTTAGCATAAAAATGTAATAACTTCAAAATTAAGTAATATTTTGATATAAAAATGCACAAGATTATTCCAATTATTAACACATTTCTTGATTCAAAATTTCAGCCTTATGTGATTTTTACTTATAACTGGGAGCACAAAACCTTTAAACGTGATTATATCCAAACAAGATTTTTGCGTGTCTGGGTTACTAACGTCCTTTTCCTTGGCACATGATAATAATATTCTACATGATGTCCAAACATTTGGTGTTTTTTTGTGTGTGTAGGAGGTCACAGTTTGCTACCAGAGCAGTTGTGTTGAGTACTGAGATTCTGAAGGCAAGAGGCATGTATGCTGAGGCTGCCATGGAATTCATTCGAATGACGGGAGAGGTAAACATTCTTACAATTTGGGGTCTAGAAGTACTTCCCCTAATCCTTGCACATTCCCTCAATTCTTTCCCTGCAAAATTACTGTTTTGTATGACGGAATAGAGCTCAAAAGTAAAATTTCATGCAGCTGAGCTTTCAGAACCCTTGAGCAACCCTTCTTTGAGCATTTTACACTCGGTAGCCCTTTCTCTTGCTATAACTTTTGGCAAAATGATTTCTAACAGTAACTACCCTGAGAAACATTCATGTCGGAATGTTATCTTGGTATTCTACACGAAAAAAAATTGATGAAAAATCACATGGAGATGGGTAAAAGTGGATTTCATTTGCGACCTTTCACATCCGGCATTTTCATTCCCACGTCTCCTTGTTTGTTCACATGTGTTTTCATATTGCCTAAGAATGTGAATGTATAATGACGCGAAGGTTTATCTGCCTACAGCCGATGGGTTCTAAATTACTCGGGCTGGCTTGAGTGCAGTCCTTATCAGCATTCACTTTAGATTTGTTCCTAACCTGCTAACAAGTCGTTTAAGTTTATTAACAAAATTGCAAACCCTAAAAGACATCTTGGGGTGTAATATAATTTTTTAAGTTTTCACCAAAAGACTGCCACAAGAATATTTCTCAAATTTTCATCCGATGTACAAGTACACCAAGTTGCACTAGTCCACATGTATTTTAGATTTTCAGAAGTGAGAGGTCAATTTTTGGTGCAATGTTTCTCTTTCACGTCGGGCAATTTATCAGTTTCCGTAAATTGATATGCTAGTTACAGTTTTACAAAGGCCTTTTTCGGAGGTACCAAAAATAATTGCAAATTTTTGAATATTTGCACGTTAAATTTCCTATTCAAGGGTTCTTGAAGCGCGTCACGAGGGGTGAACTTTCAGGCTATGTTGCCAAAAATCTTTACCACTGACAACTGACTGCTTAGTTTTTGCTCAATAAATACAGATTCCACTGTTGAATGTCATCAAATAGTAACTGTTATTTATAACTATTTTTTGAATTTTTCCCTAACTTATTATTTGCACTAGGACTCGGACATACGCAGTGCCATCTTCTTAGAGCAGGCCGCTCACTGCTTTATCAACATGCGTCGGCCAATGGTCCGCAAGTATGCCTTCCACATGATCCTAGCAGGCCATCGATTCAGCAAGGCTGGACAGGTAATTTTCAAGACCAGACTTTTTCATTATGGCCATTTTTGGCGAGCTGCGAAGCAGATGCGAGCCTATGTAATACCAATTTCCGTCCGTCTGTCCGTTCTGACCAGGACCACTTGTGGGGTACCCGTCCTTTGTTCGAGGTACCCCGCAAGTGAAATCTTTAGAAATAGGGTACCCCGCAACTGAAATCTTTAGAAATAGGGACAATGGGACAACAATGGAGGTACCCCGGAAGTCCATCTGGGAGGTACGTCCGGGCGTCCGTCCGTCCGTCCGTCCGGCCGTCCGCGTTCAGATAAAAATGTTGAAGTTTTTGGTTCTAGTTAACTTGGGGAAAAAAATTAAATGCAGTTGTCAGGTATCATCTCTAGGCCTATAACTTCAGTTAGGTTCATATCATTGCAGTAAATTTTATGATTTTATTGAGGAACTTTAATTCAAGGAAATGTTAAAGTTTTTAATTGTTACATGTACACATATACTGGTATAACATACCGGTATAACATGTACATGTACACTATGCATTTTGGGGATGTGCATGAGCTTCTGGTTTGATCTTTTAGTTTATGGGGTTGGAGTAGGGATGGGGTAGGGGAGGGTGGGGTGGGGTGGGGGATAGGGTTGGAGTTAGGGTTTGAGTGAGTAGGATGAGTAGGGGAGCTAGGATGGGCGGGGCGGGGCGGGTTGGGGTGGGGTGGGGTGGGGAGAGGAGAGGGGTTGGAATACTGGGTTTGGGTGGGGTGGGGATTTGTAGGGGTGGGGTGGGAACAGGTAGGGAGAGACAGGTAGGGGGAGACAGGTAGGGAGAGGATGGGCATGGATGAAGGGGTTGGGTTAGGAGGGGGTTGGGCAGGGGGCGGGATATAGGATCGGAGTAGGGGTTGGGTTGGGGATGTGTAGGGATGGGTTGTAGGGGTTGGATAAAGGGAGGGGGCAGTATATAGGGATCAGAGTAGGGGTTGCATGGGGTCAGGTGGGGATGTATGGGTGGGGGAATGGGGTGGGCGGGATATTGGAATCGAGTAAGGGTTAGGGTGGGGATGTGTAGAAGTGGGTAAGGACAGATAGGGGAAGATAGGGTAGGTGGGTGTAGGGGGTTGGGGTTGGGGAGGGTACGGGTAAGGGGAGGGGGAAGGAGATAGGGATTGGAGTTTGGGTGGGGTTTGGATGTGTAGGTGATAGGGTGGGGATGATTAGGGGAGGATGGAATGGGTGTGGGTAGGGGGTTGGGTGGGGGAGGGGGGGGGTGGGGATGGGGTAAGGTTTTGGGATGGGGTAAGGTTTGGGGGAGGTGGTGATGGTGCTGTGTCTACATGTACATACCCATTCTTGTTCTGCATTTGTGGCGACTACACAAGAGTTTTCCCATGGTAATACAAGTATGGGGAGCAGAAAACACTGTTGGGGCTGCAAAAATCCACAACTGGGTCCTAATTACTCTAACAATGGAAAACTCCCCCATAATACAGTGACGGCTAACCTATATTCACATGTAATTATTAGGTTATCTGTTGACTTTTTATGTTGACATTTAAAAACTGACCCCTACACCTAGGCACATCAACAAGAATCCTGATCCCCTTCCATCATGCCCATCCCCAACCCTACCTTCAGCCTCCCTTCCTGCCCTGGACAGCGAGCCATGGCGGCTTCGCCGTTCTAGTTCTCTCTGTTTTTTTTTTTGTTTTTTCCATTTGTTGGTCTGTGATGACAGTTTCTTTTGTGTATTTGTAGATTATGCTGTTGTGATTTTAATGATTATCATTTAAGACTGATTCATACTTTGAAGGTGAATTGAAGGTAAATGCAAATTTATGATTTCGTGGCAAACTTCCGCGCTTCTAGTTCGCATTGAACACACTTCTATGTTGGCAATTTTGGGTTTGGTTTGTGACGTCTAACAGAAAAAAAAATTGTTTTTGTTAAAGTAAAACGTACAAAAATTGTAAATTTGTCAGGAGAAAAACACCAAAAATGCTGAAGAGCACGGGTAGACCAACTTTAGCGCAGGTTGATTGAAATATTTTCTGTGTTTCAGAACTGACTCAAATTTATTCTAGCTTTATCTATTATTATTGTTATGCATTGTTTCTGGTAATGAAACCAAAGATTCCTCAAAAGTACCCTAGGCACTGCAGCTCGCAAGCCTGAAGAAACCTGTAGCGAGAAGACAGTGAGAAAAAAAGTACAGTTTTAGAGGTGGGAGGAAAAACCCCAGGGAATCTGCAGGGACTGAAAACCTATCCAAATATCGGCCATGGGGGGATTGGAAGCCAGGTCACAGCGGTGGAAGGCGAGGAAAGAACCGCTACGCCAACCTGACTCCCTGACAGATCTGTCTGAACAGCCTTGCAACGTTGAGTTCATAGCAAGCATCTGTAAATTGTATCTTGCAAATCATGATTCAATCACCAGAGCGTTAACCCTAACCCCCTAGGCCCTTGTTGCTTACAACCATCCTCAATCTTCCAAAATCCTCCAAAATTTTGCAATTCCGCCTAAATTTTTCAAAATTGTCAGACAGTCCTGCCTCAAAATGCATTCATCCTCAATCCTCCAAAATCCTCCTCATCCCAAAATTTTGCACTCGTGTTTAAATGAAGGATAACCAATGCCAAATCCTTCAAAATCATCAGACAGTCCTGCCTCAAAATGCATTCATCCTCAATCCTCCAAAATCCTCTTGTGCTTCAATCACCATTCATCCTCAATCCTCCAGAATCCTCATTTGATTCAATCACTATTCATCCTCAATCCTCTAGATTCCTCCAAAACCGCCAGGAGGATTTTGGAGGAGTGAGGTGGGTTAGGGTTAACGTTGTTTCAGACACTTTTACGTGCAGTGTGTGATCTAATTGAATATGGATGCTTTGATAAAATCTGGTTGCAATTTCTGTGTCTTCTCTGACCGCAGAGGAAGCATGCTTTGAGAGCCTACTGGCAAGCGTTGCAGGTGTACAAAGGCAAAGGATGGACTCTAGCAGAGGTATGTCAGCAAACGGACAGGAACATCATGATTTATCACATTCAAATCTATTTATCATCATTTGAAAATTAACACACACTGAGGTTGACAATCAATGTGTCTGTCATCCATTTTTAGCGTAGTGCGCACTGCATGACGCGTTAAACGTAGTTGTGTGAAAATTCAACGCTTAGCGATTGAAACAGATGACGCATCCAATACCCATTTCATAAGTTTTTTTTATGTGCAACTTAAACAGGCATGCAACTTTTCCTCGGATCTGCTGATTTCCTCGTTTTTTACTCTTCTCATGAATGCCATTACATAATGAAACACACTGTACAAAGTCTTGTGTGGTTTGGAATTTCCTCGTCTTTTTTTCTAAATTCCCAGTTGCATGCCTGCTGAAATGATGAAGTGGTGGGATAAAAAGATAAATATTAACCCTCCCTTTGTTTGATCAGTCACAGACAGTCAAAAATTCAATGCAGTTCCCCTGCCATGCCTATAACACAGGCTAGGCACCAATTCAGATCAGATTTAGTGTAGGCACTGTGACAGTCAAATTCCATCAACAGACAAAGGCTGGCAACTGGTAGGCACAGCCGGCTAATCAATCTACTATAGACACAGCATATCTGTCAGGTTTCATAACAATCCCAGCCAGTCAATCCTGCAGGGAGCACTCAACTGTTAAAAACAGTCACTTGATTTATTTTGACTTGTTGAAATTGCCAGCTGGAATGGGAGGGTTAATTTGAGTCTTATTGAAACAAACTCGAACCTGCCATGAGTTTAGTTTTTGAATTCTGTGTTAATTAAACACGGAATATTCATTCCCTGTGTACTTTATTGAGAAGTTTAATCAATCGTGTCAAGTTTTATTCTGAAGAATGTGCACTTTGCCAAATTTAATCCAACTTTGATTATTAGTTGATTTTTCTGCTCGAAAAACTGCTGCTGCTCTCTATTCGAGGGTCTACGTGCATCAAGTGTTCAAAGAAATATGTAGGCATTGATTTTTAGAATACGCATCACGGACATGCAACTAGTAAACGCACAATACAATACACACTATGAAAATGAACACATGGATTTTCGGCTTAACACCTCTGTGTTTTTTTTTCTCCAGGACCACATCAATTTCACAGTGGGTCGGCAGTCGTTTAATTTGAAGCAGTTGGAGAATTCCACCGCAGCCTTCAAGCATCTCTTGACCTACCAGAGCAGACAGCCAGCTGCACAGCAGAGCTCCTTCTTCAAGGAGTACCTCTATGTTTTCAAGGTGAGACGTTCAACGTGGTGATGTAAAATTCAAAATTCGGTTTCGCCCTTCACCGACGTATTTTTTATAAACACTGTACACTCGGTGTTGTCCCGAGCGATTATGAAAAAATATCACTAGGGTGGGACTGGAACCCATGACCGCCTGCTTACTAGTGCAGACGTCTTACCACTCACCCACCGAGCTTGCCGGGGTCAGCTGGCTGGTTCGAATCTGATATAGCAGCGGGTACCGCAACCAAACTATTCATAAGATGGAATTTGCGTCAGGGTGATTTAAACTCAATATTAAGTTTTGCCCTTCACCGATGTATTTTCGGTGAACACTGTATACTCAGTGTTGTCCCGAGTGATTGTGAGAAAAAAAATCACTCTGGTGGGAATCGAACCCACAACATCCTGCTTACTAGTGCAGACATCTTTTGTTACCACTCAACCACCGAGAATATTTTGGTTGCGGTACCCGCTGCTATATCAGATTCGAACCAGTCAGCGGACGCCGGCAAGCTTGATGGTCGATTGGTAAGACATCTGCGTTAGTAAGCAGGAGGTCGTGGGTTCAAGTCCCACCCAAATTATTTTTTTCTCACAATTGCTCGGGACAACAGTGAGCGTACAGTGTTATAAAAATACGTCAGTGAAAGGCAAAACCCGATATTGAATTCAACCTGGTGTTGATTTGATGAGTTTCGTGATAATAAAGTAATAAAGTGGGAGATATAATTTTATGTGTCTTTTGCCAGGTTTTGGTATTTGAATTGCTTTTGCGGGAAACACCATTCATACAACTTCGAAGAAGGAAAATGGGTTCTCCCAAAGTATTAGATGTTTTTTCAACATTTTGACAAGTCAGCTCCATTGTAGTGTCATCATTATTGTTCTATTTCATTTGAAATTCAGATATTTGTATTAAAAGTACAGTATAGCAACAGATAGGTGGAATTGCATTTGTACATATTCACAAAATATGTAAAACAATTCTGAAAATTCACTTTACGTAAAAGTAAGCAACAGTTGGATAAAAAAAAGTAGTTAAAAGAAAAAAAAAAATCCTGCTTCTCAACCTGAAAATTGCAAAATGCGGTATTTTGTTTATCAGTTTTAAAACAATAAGCTTTTTCGGAGTTCCAACTGCGCGCATTCGTAACCTGTGACAACGCACATTGTTTGTCTCAAATGCCCTTTGACAGTACCCACAATGCACAAACAGCCTTTTTGTAAAGTCAGTGGCGCGATGTTGTCAAAGGCCATTTGAGACAAACAATGCGCATTGTCACAGGTTACGAATGCGCAGTTGGAACTCCGAAAAGGCTTATTAAAATAACCCTTATTACCCTCTATGCACAAAATTCACTGTTCATGTTATATTTTAATCTCTAGCAACTATTGACCGTGCAAGCTGAGGAGGGCAGCCCCCAGGCCACACTGCCTCAACTGCCCTTACCTGTCATCAACAAGCCTGCTACTAGAGTACTGCTGACCAACCCCCGCAAGCCACCGCTCCCAGGTAACTTGAGATCACAGATCAATGGGCCCCGTGCGCCGACGAAAGAGGGCGCCCTGTTACCTAGCACCGACGTCCCATGGGCGGGACATTTCGCTGGTTGACGCGCACCGTTCCTTGTGTGTGACGCACGTACACCAGGGGATTTGTACTAAGTACACGCAGTGGCCGCGCTTCGCAGCAAATGAATGAAAAGTCGGGCAAGATGGCGTCGGTCGGTCACCCCCAACCGTACCTTCTTTGCTGGTGAGGGGGTACTTGTGAACGGAGCGGATAGGGCCTGAAAGTTCACCCCTCCGGACCCCTCGAATAGGAAAATTAATGTGCACAAATTCAAAACTTTGCAATTATATTTGATTTCTTACGAAAAGACCATTGAAAAAAGGCCTTTAGTTTGTAAAATTGTAATTAGCATGTCAATTTATGGAAAATCGGACTCCTTTTTCCCTTTTATTGGTTAAACCCTCTCACGTGACTTGTCACCTTCAATTAGGCATGCGCAATACTACCAATGAGTCCATATTTTATAGAAACCTAAATTCACGCTACATCTGTCCGGCGGCTGTTGCTTGACTTTTAGTAATCCTCGATGTGCAAGCGAGCCACAAAGTTGCTCTGGAAATTACATGAATAGTAGACATGTGAGAAAGCAGACATTTGTTTTTCATTGCTAGAAGCAAGGTGAGTGTGCTTCCAAAGCGTAAATAAACTAGCAGCATAGTCAGCAAGTGGCACTTAAAGAGGTTGTGGAATGCTCAAAGACATTTCCGTATTTTTTTGGGTATATGTAGCCTAAGGTGTGATGAAATAAAAACGACTATTGTTTCTGTCATGAAATGAGTACAAAGGTTACTTTTGAGAGCTATGTTTCAGGTCCTGTTTCGACCCGAACGTGCAATTTGTGTAAAAGTCGTTGTTGCGGGCAGCAAACAAAACACAGCAAATCGTGACGTAATAAACAGGACTCGTTTATGCTACTCTGCATCGGGAGTCCTGTTTATTACGTCACGATTTACTGTGTTTTGTTTGCTGCCCGCAACGACGACTTTTACACAAATTGCACGTTCGGGTCGAAACAGGCATGACAGGACTTGAAAAACAGCTCTCAAAAGTACCTTTTGTACTTATTTTATGACAGAAACAATAGTCGTTTTTATTTCATCACACCTTAGGCTACATATACCCGAAAAGTGACGGAAATGTCTTCGAGCATTCCACAACCTCTTTAAGATGGTGGCTGTGTGGCCTATATTTATGGAGGTAGTCCAGCAAATTGGCCACGTTTATGGGGCTAACACCAGGACAATTCTGTCAGCTCATGCATTGTATGGAGTAGTTCATCAGATGTCATCAACCACAAACTATCCTCTTGGGGATGAAGATTGAAAATATCTGCCATCTTCGTATTATGGCCACATTTATGTAAAGGTACGTTCCTATCTGTCATTAATTGCAGACACTCAGATGTATGCGACCTCGGTGACCTTTGACCGCATCTTTGACCCGGCCGAGCGTGAGGAATGGCAGAACCTGGAGGAGATGGCGATCATGGTAGCCACCGGTCAGTACAACCTGCCGGCCGGTTTCCGACCGAATCTGCAGCTGCTGCACGGAAAGACAGACAATAGTATTAGTCCACTGGTGGTTGTTGGAGGTGAGGAAACATCGGACGTGTAGTCATACATACATGTACACACGTACCGTGTATTGCCGCGATTCGGTGGACGCTTCCAACTTGAGCAGCAGATTAGTTCGTACACACTTTTATCGCATCCAGAATCAATTTCTTTAATAGTTTACTCTATGGTTTTTCTCAAGAGCACCCTCAATCGCTTGCAGTTGGTACAGAACGCTGCTGCAAGTCTACTTACTGGTCAAAAGAAAGCAGCTCATGTCACCCCCATACTTCACAGACTTCACTGGCTGCATGCCGGTTAAATACAAAATACAACACAAGATCCTTCTCCTCACATTCAAAGCACTTCACGGTTCTGGCCCACCCTACCAAAACCTACTACAGCCTCGTACTGTCAGACCGGGCTTGAGGTCATCTGGCAGTCTCCTTTCCATTCCCCGAGCTCGTCTTGCCAGTTATGGTGACAGAGCCTTTTCAAATGCACCTTGGCTTTGGAACCATTTGCCACATGATCTCAGAAATATGGAAAACATCACACTTCTCATACAGAAACTCAAATCATATCTCTTTATGCTGGCTTTTTCCAACAACTGATATTTTTAGTTTTTTTCTGAAATCTAGCCCGATGCGTTTGAATGTGTGCTTGGCCGGTTTTAAACAAGTACATTTAAAATCGGCTTAGGGCCTGGTCACGGATAATGTCTCTCGTCTTCGGCTATCAGGCCAAGCACACAATTATTACCTTAACTGGAAAATTTATTGCAACGTGACGCAACTTTTTATGCCCCGCGGCGAAGCCGAAGGGGCATACTGTTTCCGCCTTGTCCTTCCGTGGGTGGGTGGGTGGGTGGGTGGGTGGGTGGGTGTGTGGGTGGGTGGGTGTGTGTGTCCGGATAAATCGTGTCAGCGCGATAACTTGAGAAATACTTAACATATGAACTTCAAATTTGGTTTGTGGATTGTTCTTGGTAATCCTAAGAAGCCTATTGCATTTGGGGCCGAAAGGTCAAGGGTCAAGTTCACAGTGGCTAAAACAATAGAAATCTTGTCAGCGCGATAACTTGAGAAATAGTTAACATATGAACTTCAAATTTGGTTTGTGGATTGTTCTTGGTAATCCTAAGAAGCCTATTGCATTTGGGGCCAAAAGGTCAAGGGTCAAGTTCACAGTGGCTAAAACAATAGAAATCTTGTCAGCGCGATAACTTGAGAAATACTTAACATATGAACTTCAAATTTGGTTTGTGGATTGTTCTTGGTAATCCTAAGAAGCCTATTGCATTTGGGACCAAAAGGTCAAGGGTCAAGTTCACAGTGGCGTAAACAAAAGAAATTTTGTCAGCGCGATAACTTGAGAAATACTTTACATATGAACTTCAAATTTGGTTTGTGTGTTGTTCTTGGTAATCCTAAGAAGCCTATTGCATTTGGGGCCGAAATGTCAAGGGTCAAGGTCACAGTGGCTGAAACAATAGAAATTTTGTCAGCGTGATAACTTGAGATATACTTTACATATGAACTTCAAATTTGGTTTGTGGATTGTCCTTGGCAGTCCTTAGAAGCCTATTGCATTTGGGGCTGAAAGGTCAAGGGTCAAGGTCACAGTGGCTAACACAATAGAAATCTTGTATTTATTCTGACATCATAGGGATTAGGGATTAATTCATATAAAACCTACAGAAGACACTAATGCTGTCAATTAATGAACGTTCCATGTGACCAAGGTACATGTAAGTTGATGTTAAAAGAGTGGTGTTATGTCATGGGAACAGTCACGGTTGCGGGGCATTTGTGTTTGTAAACACACCTGACTTGTTTCTTCATGTATCATCTCAGTGAAGGTCATTCATTGCAAAAATGATGATAAGACATGCATCTGGGACTGAGAAACATTTCCAATTTTGTTAGGAAATACTTACAGAATGTTCTTGACTCTCCATAGACTTTGTACACAACCGCTGAAGTGGTGTCAGGTTGCAAAATGTTGTCCCCTTAATTATACATATGTAAATCATATAACTTTGTCTATGATTTGACAGAGGCAATGACCGTGGAGCTGGTCATGGAGAATCCACTCAAGGTCCCCCTGACGATATCCAACCTGACCTTGAGATGGAAGTTTACTCCCGTCAGCTACGAGCACGTCAACAAGGAGAACCCAGAACAGCAGCCGGCCGTGCTGTCCAATGAGGCTGACATATTGACCGGAAAGGTTCGGGCTAAGTGGATTATATTGTTATATTGTTCAAGTCCCCTAACATGGCGCGGCCCCTAATGTGGCGCACAGAGAATTTTTTTTTTTTTAGGTTTTGACATTTTCAAATTCCAGAGGTTTTCAGCTTCAAAATGATGCACAATTTCATAGGTACTGTGACCCTATTGTGGGAGAAAGGATTAAAGGGAATGTACAACATTTGCTTTTGCTGTAACTTTCAGAAATAAGTGGATTTGGAGGAATAGTATGTTATAGCATATATTGTTACACTGACTTGTTTCACGTTTTGGGTTCATAGATGCTGGAAAAACCAAGAAAACCCATCATGCTCTTGAAGTCTGCTTCCCTGATCCCACTTAAGATGAAACGGAGCAATTTATAGATGTTGGTGGATTATTAGGTCAGAGAATCAGTCTACCTGGCTTGTACCCCTTCACAGTCGTGTAATCAATTGCAAAACAAAATGCGGAATAATTAAATATGAAAAACTAGCAGCAGTCTTTGAAAAGAAGCGAGTTTTCTCCAACGCTGGTCGGCCGACCAGCATTGGAAATAAATACACGAATACCGCTTTACTTAAAAATGTCAGCACACCGGGAGCCATGATTTTACAGGATGCTTTAGACTGTCATTCGCTAACAGTCCAGTAAAGAATTTCGTGATAATTTGATCATTTTGTTTTTTGATGTTTGCAAATGTTGTATCTTCCCTTTAAGTAATAAAACTCTAACAACCCAATTATGAGATAAACACGCATATTGAAATGCTTTTTGTATAAATTGCTGTACACATTTTTTCACTAAAATGACCAAAAGAAACACACCTCTGCTTATCGGGTCATGTTGATACTCATACTTTGGGAGGTTGTAGATTTAAAACTGATGCAGAAAATTTCAGAACCTCAAAATGGTCAGTTCCCCCCCAAAATGACTTCACGTGTCCTTTGCGCAAACAAAACATTTGCAACTTTGTCTGGGTTGCGTTGGAGCAGGTCTCATATGAGGTTGTGATGCTTGCAGTTTTGAAGATTTCATCAATTTTAAATTTTTTTGAGCCATGTCCACATTCTCATGGAATTGTCCATGGACAACAAAAACATTGTGCTCCAATGTTAAATTTTTCAAGACTTGACTGAAAACACTGTTAGTATTGTAACATTTGTTGCGGGAGTTAGGTTACGATACATGTACACATACGTTGGTCAGTGTTAATCAAAAAGCTGACCCAACCAGCCTTGGGCAGAGGATTTTAACTTTGGATCAACAGTACACTCGGCCTTCGACTTCATGGGCAATGCGCGTTCCTTCATTAATGCGCGTAATTCGAATGCTGCAACAAACCTATGTGTCTTGTGTTGTAAAAGGAACTACAGAGGTACGCACATTGAATACATATCCTTGTTCTATAACGCGACGTCAAATCCTCATCTTTAAAAGGATGGATTCTACAAAAAAAGCCCTTCAAATTGAAAGCACTGCGTCGGGCGTTAAACGCATGGACTGTTGTCCTAATTTAAATCTCCCAAATAGTGGGATATTTACATTACACAATTCCAGGGGTTAAGATCGCGCAAGGCATGATGAGGACCAACATGGCGCAGCGAGATAGTACCCATGGGAAACAAGTTGCAGTACACTATCTTCCTCCTAAATTTGCCGTACTCTTAGTTCTTTTCCTTTTTGTTTCAGCAGCGTAATGAGCTTGAGGACGTTGTCAGCACTGAGGTCATTCCAGAGGTTGTGTTAGCCGGCAACGAGTACAAACCGGTAAGTGCCAACTTGTCTCAAATCCATCTCTTCCATCTGTGCACTTAGCCTAAGTTTAATTTTAAACCTTTTGAGGTGTCACACTGGTTTTCACAATCCACAGTCAACAAAGTCTGTTCAGAAGTGTTTTTCTTCAAGCCAGTAAACAATATCAGCAACCAACATCTTGTAAATCTTGTTGATTTGAGTTGTGAAAAAAAAGTTGCAGTTCATTTTGGATTCTGGTGGGTTCGTCGGTCTTCCCAAATTGCTGATCTGCTGTGGGGTGACCATATAGCAGTTGCATTTCCTTCGCCACAACAAGAAATATGAATTAAGATTGGATCATGAGTATGTATACAGCTGAGCCAAATGATCTCAATCCCTCCCCCACCCTGTCTTAGGTCCACTTGTCCATCACCCCACACCAGACTGGGGAGTTCCACATCCTAGGCATCGCCTACAGTCTCTCCGGCCAGCAGACCCCGAACGCCAAGGATGAAATCACGGCCAACAACGACTTCGGCAACCGGGAGAACCCGGACAGTCCCCAGAAGGGCGGCAAGAAGTCCTCCCCCCACGGGACTGGGATCATCTTGGTCCAGGGTGGGCAGGAGTTGGACATCCAGGGTCCCCGGCTGAATTCCACCAAGGTGGAGAAGTGCAGCGTTATGTATGGACCGGACCGACGGTTGGACCCGGTCATCGTGCCACCCATGCCGCTGCTTGAGGTACTTACATTAAAACCCTCCTACTGGGGAAATTCCCAAATTCATTGCAGTACATGTATGTATGTAAAAAACCTTGAAAACCCCACTGGTGAAGGTTTATAAAGTGTTAAAGGTAGAGTAGATCATTTGCAGCTATCCAAAAAGTAACTGACAAATTTTTGATAAAAAGCGTACTTGCTTTAAAGATAAGAATAGGAGTAAACTCCCTGTGAAATTATTCTTTCTGGCATGCTGGCACTTTGAAGAAAACAATCAAACAAGGCCATTTCCAAAGATGCGTCGATTGACGCATTTTTGGAAATTTCTGTTTGTAGTTGGTTTGTAATTCGTCGAATCCGTGAATGGGTGCGGGCAAGCTTTAACACGACGCACGCGCAGTTGCTATTTCTTGTCGATTAAGTGCATGACGTCGCGTAGCTGCAATCAGTGAAATGAGAACATGTGTAAGATGTTGTTTTGGGGCGCAAGTAAAAACATGAGCACAGACACAGGTAGTTTGGCTTCAGGATCTTTGATCCGATGGATCTTGATACACTGAACAGGATTTTTAAAAATTATCCATAAATAATTACATTTTCTCCTTTTTTTGTCCCTCATCAGGCTGTATTTACTTCCTTCCCTTCAACACTTCTGTGCGGTGAGGTCTGCCTGTCAGTTGTGGAATTGACCAACCAGGGATTCAGTCCCCTCCAGAAACTCCTCGTGGCATCCAACCACCCCGAACTCTTCTCTTTTGGAACCTCCCAAACCCCGGCCAACCAATCAAAAACCAGCGTTTACAGGACTGTTCCATGTGATGGAAACACAGGGGGGAATGGTGGAGAATGTGTGGTAGACAAGTGTCGTGTTTCCCATGTGACTGAGGTACCCCTCCCAGGGGGCTCCTTACCCCCAGGGGGCAGTGTGTCGTTACCCTTGTACATAAGAGGACCAGACAGGAGCGGAATACACGAAATCAACATGCTGTTTTATTACGAATCGGCCGAGGAAAATCCTAAAATGAGGTGTGTATATTTAAAGCATACAGGTGTATAATTAGACTATCATGTTTTTGTGGTGGAGGATTTTGCAGGATTGAGGCTATGTGGCAAAAATGTGTGGCTCATTTTGGAGTATGTTGTGCATGGGGTTGGGTTCACCAGGCCAAACCGACCAGAAACATTAGAGATATAAACCGAATCCGAACTGAACCCAATATGAATTCCTGAAATCTGACCCAACCCGTCAAAAATTCCCAACCGACCCAAACCGACCCGAACCGACCCGAAGTATGTTTCGGGTCGGGTCGGTTTTGGGTCAGGTTTGCACAACATTACACTGTGTCAAGGTCTTGGGCCGGTCCATGTGCTGTTTATGCTCTGCCGTGCATAAATTTAGGCCTAGATTATACTTGAAATCCTCTGCACTGCTCCAGGATGTTACTAGCTCTGCCTCTACATATTGACAGTGATTGCTGGAGGATTTTGTAGGATTAAGGCAGTGATCACCCCTCCAAGGATCACATTCAAGAAATAATGGACAATTTTGGAGGATTGATACTGTATGCAATGTTAACATGCAGCCAGTTGGAGGACTTTGCAGGATTGAGGTTGCAAACAGAAATGCCTAGGGAATTAGGGTTAATAAAGCTGTTTTGACTCGGTACTCAGCAAGAGTGGGAATATGGGTGTCTAGTCACATACTGGTAATCTGTAACAGATATTCAAAAAATGTACAAACATTTCTAAAGGACACAGTTTTGAACTTGAGTTTGAGTCATTTTCATATATCTGGATTCTACAGAACAAGAGCTTTCCAATGTTAAAGTACTGAGCTCAGTAACGGAAATATAGACCACCAACTTTCATACTTGAAGTTGTAAAACTGATTCTTGAAAAAATGGCATGTACAAATCCTGCAGTTGTGTTACTGTACATTTGGTACATTTTATGTACTTGTACTTATAAATGTTGACTTTTCCTTCAGACATCGGACCTTGCATCACACCGCCACCATTCACTCCAGCAACTCAATATCCCTGACATCATCGGTACTCCGGGCCCACACTGGGGAGAGTCGGGACACTAAAGCCAAAGATACTAGCTTGATCATCAGTCTAGACATTGACAATATGAATCAGGTAGGACAGAAATCTGTTAGGAGGTGGCTGCCACTGAACACACAATCGTAATACACTGTATGCATCAGGTATTCAGAAATTAACGGTCACTTGCTACCACAGCCATAGGTACTAGCTTGATCATCAGTTTGGATATTTGTGAGGCGTTCTGCAAAAATGAAATGGAACTGGGGAAAAAAAATTGGAGAAAAATGAAAAATAAAAAAAAATTGTAATGCTTATATAGCGCTTTCCACCGTATCAACAATGTCAAAGGGCTTTACAATTATTCCCTGTTCATCAGGCCATGAGATCACGCGGCAGCCGATATCAGCGCACATTCGCTCCTCTACCCTTACAGGTCCCCATTCATACTCCTGGGTGGAGAGAAGCCATTGTAGTTAAGTGTCTTGCCCAAGGGCACAAACACCAGTACATGTAATTGGTTAAAGAGGTTGTGGAATGCTCGAAAACATTTCCGTCATTTTTCGGGTATATGTAGCCTAAGGTGTGATGAAATAAAAACGACTATTGTTTCTGTTATGAAATGATTACAAAAGGTACTTTTGAGAGCTGTTTTTCAGGTCCAGTTTCGACCCAAACGTGCAATCGTGTAAAAGTCGTCGTTGCGGGCAGCAAACAAAACACAGTAAATCGTGACTGATAAACAGGACTCCCGATGCACAGTAGCATACACGAGTCCTGTTTATTACGTCACGATTTACTGTGTTTTGTTTGCTGCCCGCAACGACGACTTTTACACAATTGCACGTTCGGGTCGAAACTGGACCTGAAAAACAGCTCTCAAAAGTACCCTTTGTACTCATTTCATGACAGAAACAATAGTCGTTTTTATTTCATCACACCTTAGGCTACATATACCCGAAAAAGGACAGAAATGTCTTCGAGCATTCCACAACCTCTTTAAGTTCTGCTGTGTACATATAAGTCTGGTGCAGATAGCAAGTAGAGCTTTTGTAAACAGTACAAGTGCCTTGTGAAATGTGTCATCTCCAAACACAATTTTGAAAGTTATTTTTTTTTGCACTAGGTACATGATTCTCACATCATTGAGTTCAGCATAGGCCAGGTATCATGTGTGAGTGAAGCATGGGCGCTTGACTACCTGGGAACGGACACACTCGCAAAAGGTAAGTCTGAGGCCGCGTCTATGTGTGTCTGCGTCTAGTGACAAAACCTAAAAGTGTGGTCTGGATATATCAGCATCAAAAGAAAACTTTCTTCATCATTTGTTCTTCGTTTCGACTCCATATAAGAACTGCAGTTGTTATATCGTGTCCTAGATTCTGTAATTTCATTGGTCTAGAACGGCCACATGTCCAGTCCATAAAAATAAATTTATTTTATATACACTGCGTTGCATGTAAAATAATTCATATACACTGTGTTGCATATAAATTACCTCATATGCACTGTGTTGCATATAAATACCTTATTTACACTGTCTTGCATACAATTTGCCTCCTATACATTGTGTTTCTTATAAATTACCTCATTTATACTGCGTTGCATATAAATTACCTCATATACACTGCGTTGCATATAATTTACCTCATATACACTGCATTCCATATAAATTACCTCATATACACTGCATTGCATATAATTTACTTCATATACACTGCAATGCATGTAAATTACCTAATATACACTGCATTGCATATGAATTACCTCATATACACTGCATTGCATATAAATTACCTCATATACACTGCGTTGCATATAATTTACCTCATATACACTGCGTTGCATATAATTTACCTCATATACACTGCAATGCATGTAAATTACCTCATATACACTGCATTGCATATGAATTACCTCATATACACTGCATTGCATATAAATTACCTCATATACACTGCGTTGCATATAAATTATCTCATATGCGCTGTGTTGCATATAATTTACCTTATATACACTGTCTTGCATATAATTTGCCTCCTATGCATTGTGTTTCGTATAAATTACCTCATATACACTGCGTTGCATATAATTACCTCATATACACTGCATTGCATATAATTTACCTCATATACACTGCATTGCATATAAATTACCTCATATACACTGCATTGCATATGAATTACCTCATATACACTGCATTGCATATAAATTACCTCATAAACACTGCATTGCATATAAATTACCTCAATAAAATTACCTCGATAAACTTACCTCAGTGTTGCGCATGCGTATGTAGGGCCTGCCTGCGCGTCTTGCGACTGAGAACTGCGATCACTCAGTCTCGTGTCCGGCAGGAAAGCCTACAGTTATCAAAGGTTACACCGTAGTGATTTAATTTATTTCTCACGTAGTAATTTACAACCGTGTATCTTTTTGACTTCTTGGTGCAACATAGCAAAACAATTGGTGACGGCTGTTGTTAACCCCCTCGGGGTGCATAGCAAATTGACTACTTTTCTTTGAAATAGAGAGCTCAACGGAATTGAATGCTGAACATACTCAATTTTTGACAAGAGCGCACTACATTTTGAGCTGTTGTTTGTGTTGTTTCTCTTTAGAACCCAAGATAAGTGGAGGGGAGTCCCAGAGGATGTCCTTCAAAGCAACAAAGTGCAGACACGGTCCACCAGGTATAATATTCATTTCACATTCAGTTTGAAAAGTGGATGTTACGTCCTGATGACCTTTACCATTGAAAAGATATCAGTTTGTTGGCAGAAATTTAAAGGCCAAGTCTTGCACCAAGAATCGTTCCTAGCTTTCCATAGTTTCTTGGGTTAGGTTCTTACTGATTCGTGCAACAGTCTGCCTGTTGGTCACGCAGAATTACATAGGAAGTGTTCAGGGTTATTAAGAATGTGAAGCATATATATAATATGAGTGGCCATGCATACTCCATCACATGTCAATGTGGTCTCAGCCAAGTGACAGGCTTTTCAATTGAACGGTAACAATGTCACGACGAACTGTTACAGAATCATCATTTTTTTCCCCCTCTACTTGTGAATCAGTTTATGAATTGACTTGTGATTTTACTTGTGATTGGATTTGTGATCAGCCTGTGATTGGCTTGTGTTGTGACTCTTGATTGACCTGTGATTGGCCTGTAATTGGCTTGTGATTTGATTTGTGATTGGCTTGTGGTTGGATTGTGATTGGCCTGTGATTGGCTTTTGATTTGACTTGTGATTGGCCTGTGATTGGCCTGTGATTGGCTTGTAATTGGATTTGTGATTGACTTGTGATTGGCCTGTGATTGGCCTGTATTTGGCTTTTGATTTGACTTGTGTTTGACTTGTGACTTGACTTGTGATTGACTTGTGATTGGCGTGTGATTGACCTGTAATTGGCTTGTAATTTGATTTGTGATTGACTTGTGATTGGCCTGTGATTGGCCTGTATTTGGCTTTTGATTTGACTTGTGTTTGACTTGTGACTTGACTTGTGATGTGCTTGTAATTGGCCTGTTATTGGCTTGTGATTTGATTCGTGATTGGGTTGTGATGGACTTGAATACAACTCTGCAGAAAGGTCGGCCAAAGAGAATCCTTTGAACACAACCTGATATTAAGTTCTGAATTCATTCCTTGTGTCTATCTTTCATTCCACAGACAATCCCACAAGGGAACAATTGTTCTTCACAAGCGTTACATTTGGAAAACAAATGGTAAGTTCAAAAACAGTTCAAATATTATGTGTATGAAAAAGCACGCTTTTCACCAATGATTACAATTGCTGCACCCTTGTTCTTCAACAAATTAGATTTATTTTTTCTCTTAACAAATTTTCATTTTGTTTTATAGTGACCAACAAAATCCCATTATTTTCTCCAAATTTTTGGAATCTGCGCCCTCCTGAGATGATTTTTTTCGGGGGCACTATTTGTGCTTCAGACGTACCAAAATAATTGGAAATTTGTGAAGAAAATTAATCCATTACTTAACATTGGCCGATGTCTTCATTCAATACTTCATTCTAAGTTGAATTAATAATAATTATTAATTCTTATATACCGCATTACATAATATAAATCTCAGTGCGCTTTACAAAATTAATCGTAAAAAAAAAAATTATTATAATAAATTTAAAAAGCTCAATACAAAATGTTATGAGAATACATTAAAATGTTTACTTTGAATGTCATTAGAATTACCTTTGTATTTCTAGATGGAAAACTTTAGTTTACGGAATGAAACTCAAAAACCGATTAAAATAGACGTAAATTATATGAAAGTATTTTGAATGTCATCTTTATGTTAATTAATCAGGTGGATAGCACGGCCTCTCCCTGCTCCGACTTCTACTTCCGATCCACCTTTGACCCCAGCAAGCAGAGCCTGGTTGTAGCGCCCTCTAGCTTGTCTGCTACCCCCAGTACCATGAGTCCTACAGATGAGACGGGCGTTGCCATAGTAACCGACATGAAGACGGCTCTGGAGGACAGCATCAAGGCTGGGCTGACGCTCATTGTGCTGTGGAAGGTAATTTGCATACTCATGTATCAAAAGTCGAAATTACTCCTTCAGCCTATTTCACGAAACTTTAGGCAAAGGCGTAACTCCATTTGCGCAACAATGTATTGCGCAATTTGGGCAGTGCAACATTTAATGCGCCACATTTCAGTTATGACACACTTCACGAAAGTTTCATAGCGCAGAAGTCTGCGACTTACGCAACATATTATGTTGTAACTTCCGCAATCATTTTAGGTGGCCTTAGTTGTGGCTTAGTGACTGAAAATAAACTATTTTACTAGCAAATCATGATCGTCGTGGAGCCTGTTGTTGCACAACTTATCAAGGTTGATACAAGACACTCACAGATTCGTGTTTGAGATACATAAAATGCTATTTTTACTTGTGACAGAGTTTTAGAGTTGCCACGTGATTCTGAAGAAAGTCGGACAAAACTATTTTCAAAATGGCGGGCGTAGGTGACTCAACGACTGTTTCGTGACCAAACAAAATCATACACAAATAGCCATCGAAAAATACTGTTATTATCCTCGTCCAAGATACTTAACTTATTTAAGACGTTGTGCATCTACGCCAAGTTTCGTGAAATCTATGGCAAGTTTATTGTGCAGCTGCGCAACAAATATGTAACGCAAGTCCTACACATGGCATAAGTTGCACACTGTTTCGTGAAATCGGCTGCTGGTTTGAATTAAAGTTAATTAAAAGTTTGATGTTTGAAACAGTTGGAAGTGACTATTTTTGAAAGATCAAACGTTGCAGTCATTTGGAATGACCTCAAGAGTAGTAATAATTAAACATTGGTGTGTCTTTGCGTATTGATTCAATATGTTGGACACAGTTGTAACAGTTTCCAGTACTTAACCATTCAAAAAGAAAAAAAAATCTGTCAATATCAGTGCTAGCATTTATGAAACCTTTCTAAAATACTCGGTTCTGAAGAATTCCATTTTTTTTTCTTCAATTTTGAAGAAAATTTTGTTTTTAAACCATAATTTCCTGGACAAAAACCTACATTAACATAAATATTTGAGTTTCTTTTGAAGTTTAACTCACTTTATTTGCAGGCGTTTGTTGTCGATGAAGACGGGTTTCATCACACACTGGTTGGGCAGCATCATGTCACCATGGAAACCATAGGGTCAGAGGTGACCACCGTGCAGACTGTTAGGGTAAGGTCACATCGGTAATGACATTTAGAACACCTCACCCACAGATTCTGTATCTTGATTGGCAGAGAGCAGGTCACATAGCATTCGGTATGTTTGCTATCTTGCTGAGCACGACAAAAAGTACTATACCTGCAGCAACCAAACTATAATACCCATAGCACCCAGTATTGTTTGCAGATGCATATGGGGGTGCATGTTGCACGTATTGTTCCCAAGTGTTTGCGTTACAGAGCTGGGTTCATACAATTCGTGAAGGGGTAGTTTAAAAAAGTGCTAGTAAATTTTCAACTAATTTCGCATTGAAATAGAAGTACATTGTAATTGTATGTAGATTAAATTAATCAGTTATCACTTAAAATCAAGCAGAATCTGTGGGAGAGGTGCTACAAAAGAAATATTGACTGCTTTATCTCGTGGTGTAGTAAAGCTACTCGGCTTTGCCTCGGTTAAAATAGAGTGCTCCATGGATCACCCCGGGAGGCTAGTTTTACTACACCACTCAAAGCAATCAATGTTTGTATACTATGTATTACTGCAACTTTAAGACCAAATTTGAAGTTGACATTTAAGCCTTGTCCCACAACTTGTTTTTTTTTATCCTAAGCCTTCAGCCTAAAAGAATGACGAGGCATGCAAGTATTATAAGGCCAAAAAAAAAAATATTCGGTCTCTGGTCAGACCAAAGTTCCGGAATTGACGCGGCCACGCGGCTTTTTTTTTTTTTTTTTTGGCTTTTTTTTTTTTCTTCTTCAAGCTTGGATTGTACAGACAAGGTGGGTACTATTTTGCTTTTTGGGTGTCCTCGTGTACATTGGTGTCCTCCATAATTTGCCTTGGTGCTTTCGATCATTTGCCTTGGTGACATTTCCCATTCCTTGGTGCTTTTTGGTAAAAAAAATTGAGGAGGTGCGGAAATAGAGGGCGCTGTTGGAGCTACCGCGGAACATTTTGGAAAAAAAAAAGATCGACGCGCATGATTAAAATCGACGGGCGCGCTGACCAGAGACCGACTTATTTTTTTTTTTGGCCTAATGGTCACTAAATATTTTTCGATCAGTAAAGATTGTGGGATAACAATACCAATTCCTGTGTGTGATGTTTACAGAGACCCAGGGAAATCACACAACTCAAGCTGGTCAAGGAACCCGAGAAGGAGGCCGCCAGGGAAGCCAGCCCAGAGGTCATGGGTCAGCTACTGAAATACAGCCTACAGTATTGTGAAGTCAGGGAACATGACTTCAGCAAAAGAAGGTAAGGCAACGTCCAAATTACTTTAAACCACTTTTTTCTTCATATATCATCTCAATAAAGGTCAGTCATTGCGAAAATGTTGAAAAGACATGAATCTGGGACTGAGAAACATTTCCAATTTTGTTAGGAAATACTTAGAAAATGTTCTTGACTCTCCATAGACTTTGTACACAACAGCTGAAGTGGCGTCTGGATACTACATTCTTCCTAGTTGGCTATGTCTTGCACATAGACATATGTGTAACTGCCATTTTCAGAGCTCGTTGACACATTTTAAAAAGTAATATTTGTTCTTGAACCAGTAACAGAAACGTTCGTTTTGGTATCAGAAGCCACTATTCTCAATGAAAAACGATCTCATAGTTTAGGGATAATGACTAAAAATTATCAAAGACTATCATAATTTGGGCAATTCACAATGCAGTGCGCCACCAAGAGTTTGCCACGGAGAGTTCATTTTTTCCCAGTGCATTGTGGGAGATGGTCGACAAATTCGCAGCGTGGGACATTTGAAATTGTTAGTTTTTCCAATCAGTAGTTTCGTATGCGTATGCTTCAAGTATCTGTTTGCCCTTTTCTTTTCTTTTTGTCAATATGGTGTTTTTTGTAAGGCGACAGAATGATGCCCCAATCTATAACAAATTAGCTCGAGTTGTCTACTGACACTCATTCAAATGAGCCATGTTTTGTCGACCGTAAACTTGAAAATGGACTCTCCATGGCAAACTCTCGCCCGAATTGCATGTAGGTAATTGAAGTTTTTGTCTGTACATTTTGGATAGGTAATTTTAATTGGCATTTCTCTTACATCTTTTGATATGAAATCCGTGCCGCTTACTAGTTTTCCTAGTACCTAATACCTGAAGACATAATACCACATTTTCAGTTTGTCGATGTAAATCATCCATGTGCGGTTGTATTGCAGGGTCTGCACGTTACCAGTGTCTCTCAATTTGTACAACTGCACCGGTACTGCTATAGAAGTTGCCATAGAAACCGCAGACCAGGACAATACAAGGTAAGGAGTATGACCTGGGGCCAATTTCGTAGAGCTGCTTAAGCACAAAATTTGCTTAAGCACAAAAACGTCTTGCTTATTAAAATCAGGTTACCGGCCAAAACTCCATGCGATTGTTATGTTAAGTAAACAACCGCTAAATACCAGTCACAAGCAATGTACATCGCATGGAGTTTGGCCGCTAACCTAATTTTACTAAGCAATGTTTTTTTCGTGCTTAAGCAAATTTTGTGCTTAACAAGCTCTATGAAATTGGGCCCTGCAGATTTGTACTGTACTGTTCGGTTGCCCAACATGGATGCAAAGTATTGGTGGTAAACTTTCACTGAGTTAGATGTGTACTTTGATATATTTTATTAACCCTCCTGCTATCTGAACAGTCACAGACAAAAAATGTATCCACTTTCCCTACCATACCTATTACACAGGCTAGTCAGTGTCACCGACAGTCAGATCATATTTCATGCAAGCACTGTGACTAGTCAAATTCAGTCAACAGACAAAAACAGACAAGTGGTAGGCACAGCTGGCTTATCAATCACCTACAGTCAAAGCATAGCTGTATCAAGTGACATAAACAGCCACAGCCAGCCAATCCTGCTTTATGTAGGCTGGGAGCTCTTACATGTTTGTACGTGTAACTGTTGAAAACAGTCACTGGATTGATTTCGACTTAAAGGACAACTTGGCACAGAATATATGTTTGCATAGGAGGATTAACCCTAACTCCCCAGCCTAATTTACTAGGAACCATACCCATTCTGGCAAATTCCAACACCCACATGGGAAATTGTACACACACTGCTGGGCTTAGTTTCTGGACGTTTGCCAACCCCAGTGTAAAAGACCATCAGTTTAGGGGTACTGTACCTATCCCAACAGATCTAAACAAAACCTGCTGTTGAACTTTGATGGGTTGAGTTCGGTTAGGGTTAAGTACAGAATGAGAAATACAGTGTGCCTGTGTGAATATTTACATTTCTTCCTTTATTCGTACGTCAGAAAATTCATTGATAAAGGACGTTAAGTTTGACACGTTTGTCTAGCACAGTGGGTTTGGAAGAGCGATTCACAATGGTATTTTTTTTCCATGCAGTGCAATGACTGACAAGGTATCGGGGCAGCCCGATTTCCTCTCTGCTGCTACCAAAGCCAGCTCCCTGGACTTCACCTGGGTGGGCCACGTCAGCCAGCAGCTGACCCTGCCCCCTCAGGCACCCCACCAGGCCCCGCTCCTCGCCTGCTTCAGCGCCCCGGGAGTCTACAACCTAGGCAATATCAGGATCCTGGCCAGGCCGCCGCACGAGGGTGCTGTTCAGAGGTCAGGAGGTGAGAGGTCAGGGTTCGCCCCGCAGAGGAGACTCCCACCCAGCCTGGTGACAATTGTTGGTGCTTCTATTTAACTTTTAACGGCAGAAAAATTTGCACTTTGTTTCCTTCTTAGTTTTAAAGTTTAGTTTTTAATCATCACTAATTGTTATTTTTTTGCCACGAGGAGAATCTCATTAAAAAAAAGGCTTGCCACTCAAAAGTGTCTGCAGTAATTTCTAAATGTATATTAATAAATGAATTGGAAGAAACAGACATTTCTAAGGCAATTGGTTGTTAGCAGCAACAAGGTGACCATGCTTTATACTAGGAAGAATAGGGTGGGTAAAACTATGCAAGAAAAGAAATTTGACGTTCATGCACGAAATGCTCAACATCAATAGAGTACTGATGGTATGAGGTGATTTTTAAAGGCACGTAGGAACATTTGCAATTACCCAGAAACGTAACTACCGATTTAAAGAGAAACTCCGTGCTCAAAGTGAAGATAGGACCGATACCAAATACCCTGTGAAATTATTCCACCTGAAATGGTATCATTCGGAAGGAAACAATCATTGAAGGTGGTTTAAGAAAGTGTGCCCATGTACACATTTTTTTTAACGTTCCAGTTCCAAGAACCCAAAAAGTGAGCATATGTTTTTTCTGTTTTCTCAAAGTGTGCAGTATCCACTGAGCTGAAACTTCAACAAGTTAGTTGTTATGCACCCTTCTTAAATTTTTGAGCAGTTTTGTTTTTGCTTCCAATTTAATAAAAAAAATGAATAAAATACAAACGATCCTGTATGTTCCTTTAAGGAAGCATCATTAATAGCAATGGAGAAGACACTGTTGGTAATAAGAGTTGCTTTGCATAGCAGTTAGAGAGACGGATCTACAATCTTGAGAGAAAGCTTCATACACATGGGTTGTGTCCTTGGGCAAGGCAATTTACCATAATTGGCCGTCCCTTTCTGGGCATATGGTGGGAAATTTAGAGGATTGAGGCTTAAGTGTATGCATGGTTAGCCTTGGACAAGGCATTTGGTGATGGTGTCCCATGATCCATGGTTGGGCGCGAACAACATGACAGTAGCCGTATGCTATGCACTGACATGTACCGCGCGAACAGCGACCTCACGCAGCTAGGCAATCACACGTACGTTATGAAGCGTGAGCAGCAAACTCACACGGCTAGGCTACAATATTCAAACCAGGTGGTTCTGAATCGAATGCCTTGGAATGTCCGTGGGCCATGGCCTATCTTTATCGGGCAATTTTCATTATTTTGTCCCTGGATTCATATCAAGTTACATTTGGTGTGCGGACTCCAAACTTGTTGGAGAATGTAGCCACACTGTGCAGCTCTCTGTCCATGTAAAATATGAGCCTCCACGAATACTGAATATTAATCGAAAGTACGAAAGTACTGAATATTAATCTCATCTTTTTTTCGCATTCGGGGTCGTCGCCGGAAATCCAGCGACAAAATATAGAAAAACATAAGCCAAGGCTCACGGATGTTCCAAGGCATTGTTCAGCACCACCTGATTTGCATATCATAGCCTAGCCGCGTGAGGTAGCTGTTGACGCTTTGTACAGTACAAGTGATCGCATAGCGCGTAGTTACTGTTTTGTTGGCTGTCGTCGATCATTGGACACTATCATTGAACGCCTTGACCAAGGCTCATGCAGGATTGATTACAGTTGAGAGTATCTATGACGGGTCAGTGTAGCTGTGCGTGTTCCCGAGGGAGTGCAGATGGATCCAAGAAAGTATTAACGCCAATTGAACCCTTCAAAATCCAACTGCTTGTTTTGCTTGATTCTGTTGGAGTGAGTACTGCACTAGTAAACTGATCAGGCTTTACATGGGGTCAGGCATACCAACAATAATCAGAGTCCAACAGTTTGGGTGTAGAGTTTACCCATGATGTTGAATTTTGCAAGAGTGAGGAAGGTTCCTAAGAAATCACTCGAGGGGGTTAGGGTTAACCTACGATCTGTAAATATCAGATTATCATGCAAAATGCTTTGATCCTACTCCTTTAAGTACATGGACTATACAAATCCCAATATTATCATAAACACTTTAATACGAGTCATGTGTCAAGTTGTTGGATATAGTATCGGACCTGAAGTTTTAGATGGGGCAATCACGGTAGGGGATTCCTCACGTGCAGTGATGTTGCTCGAGTCTGTATTTCTAATTGATATAAAGAGCAACCATAGACAACACATCACATTCACAATCAGCAAACATGGCGATCGTGTAATGTAGGGCCCGTTCCCTATAAGAGAGCAAAATCCACTTTTAATTTACATGACTTACCAAACTAGTTGGCAACATTAAGAACAAACAGGTATGTCACAGATAGAGGGCAGGGTTTTGAAGCTTTGAGGGAAATTAGTGGGTAAAATGACGACGACGACAAAACGCAACACGAAAGTAAAGATGGTGATCACCGCGATGTATCGTAAACGTGCAATACCGCGCTGAATTGCACGGCACAAACTAAACCGCGTATGAAAATCGTAATTTCTACCCCAAGAAACTGTTCAAAATTACAAAAAAATGGTGTCATGCTTAACCCTAAAGGGGCCGGGTTATTTTGACCATCTCTCAGCCGGGGGGGGGGGGGGGGGGGGGGGCGGATTCCGCCCCCCCCTAAGATCTCGGCCATCGAGTGACGAAAAATTTTGAAACTCAGCACATGCATAGAGCAACTCTTCCTAAACATGCCCAAGAAATTTCATGACTATAGGTCAAAGGGTTTTGAAATTATGGCTAATTAATTATTCATATGTATGAATGGCAATTCTGCTCGGTGTACACGACGTATATGCGAAAATTCAGTTTTCACGGCGCGTAGCGCCGGAAAATTTTTCGCTACGGGCCAACCCGTGGTCCGATTTTTATGTCTATGGTTTCAAAAGATGCGCAAAGCTCGAGGCTAAAAAGCATAACAGCTCGGGTCGCAAAAAAAAATTTTTTAGAAGCTATCGCGGAAAATGTTGAGGGGGGGATTCCGCCCCCCCCCCCCCCCCCCCGGCCCCTTTAGGGTTAAGGTTGAAAAGGTCATTTTTGAATGATATAAAAAACACCCTCGACTCGAATTTCATCAAAACTAAAGAGGGGCCCTATACTATACGATCACCGCAAACATTGAGTGATGTGAGCAATGGTGTTCTCATTTTACTCACTTACATGTAATACTCTATAAGAATACCAGAGGTTCCATGTATCCTAGAAGAAACCATTATGTCCATATTACAATAGTCAACAAAATGTTACGTACTGTATATCATTTCTGTATGCCAGCAACCCACCTTTAACTTGTATGGTCAATGAGTTTGTTATTCATGTAGCTGACAACAATGAAATAAACAGACTTCTGTATTAGAAGCTCACCCTCAAATGTACAAACAAGATGAAAAATTCGTAACCAAGTTTGTATATTTTGTAATTTCATTGTTCCAGCTTCTGATAGTTTGAAAAACTTGTTTGACAAAAGCAGGTTTTTTCCCCGCCATTTTTCAGTGGATATATCACAGTGGAATTTGGCTTAATGCACAAGTCCTCAAAAGCTGTTAAAAACTATTTTTTTGTTTCCAACTTATAATGTTCTCTCTAGCATGGATCTCACTTAACCGAAACCCATCTGACAATTATCGATCCAATTTAAGAACAAATGTAGGTGGTATTTGTGATATGATGGATTATTTAACAAAGTTGTGCTTTATACTCTAGATTGTTATGTTTACTGTGAAGTAATTTATAGTCAGTATTGATAGCATAAAGCCCGCCACACACCTGTGCGATTTTATTGGTTCACCGGATCATCGAGCCATCAGATGTACGGATCAGAGAGGTGTGTGCTGAAAAATCGGATGACCAGATGAATTCAAGCATGTTTTTTTTTTTTTCGCAACTGATTTCACCGGATCCGATGTCACCAGAAAGGTGTGCGGCCACAAGGGCGGATCCAGGGGGGGGGGCCAAAGGGGGCCATGGCCCCCCCCAAACGAAACCAATTTTTTTTTTTTTTTTATGTGACATCGCAATAAAGGCAGGCAATGAGTACACCACCATCTTTTCCTCCAAAAAAACATTGGTTAAAGTGGTCAGAAATTGCCTCAGATCGCACCACAGAGCATCTAGAATCCAAAAAAAAATTTTGGACCCATTTTTGGGGCGGACCAAAATGTTTTTTTGGGCCCCCCAAAAAATTGTGTTCTGGATCCGCCCTTGTGCGGCCAGCACTCCAATTTCACAGGACGAAATGTTTATGTTAACAGTCAGATTTACTGAGGAAGCCACAATTCAAAATTGACAGCTGCCATTTTGTCATCATGTGACTAGTCATCATGTGACTGATCATCATGTGACCGATTATAGAACAAAATTGGTTATATGTGCGGGTCAACCTTGCGCTCTCCGTACCAGTGATCCAGTGAGCTGGTAAAATCAGAAAGTGTGCTGCGGGCGTTAGTTTTGCAATAGATTTTATGATTCACATTTTCTTGCTGGTTTCTACTCCTTTGAGCTTTTTGGATAATAAGTTTTGTGAATTGGAAAATTTCTTTCTATTATCCATAGTCTGTATACCCTTCATGTCTGTGGATATACTGACTGCTTGTTAATACATGTACAATGTACCTGCTCGTAGCTCTCTTCCATTGGTTCATTCATATTTATGTGAATTTTCTCTGAGGTGCCCAGAAAAGTTAAGGAAAATCACAAAACTGCAGGGATCGTCAAATTGTTTGTGCTATCATCCAGAGAAAGTTATTTTATCTACAGCTTCAAAACAGGGATTATGGGCTAAAATGTTGTTCCGTCAGTATTTTGAATTGATATAATTTCCAGCGTAAACATAAATTATTTTTTAGCTACGACTCAAGTGAATCAGAAAGATCGCACATACATTTCAATTTCGTGTCTTTTTGCTGGTCTACATAATGCAGCTCTTGGGGACATAATTGGGATGCGGAATTTGACTTCTGTTTCTTAAACAGTTTCAAATGGCCAACTCAACCCATCCTTGGTTAGTTTGGACTCATTTTCATCAAAGTTTTTCTTGCAGGAATACACCCAGAACTTTGTTATATTGATAAGGAAACCAGTGAAGGTTTACCGGGGTACCGGTATGTTTCAGAAAAGTTTTCAATTTGTATTATTTTTTTCTGCTTACGTAACAGCTGATAAGTTTTAATTTGTAGTTGAAGTGTATAAGCTCTGTGCACAAACAAGAGGGCGCCCTTTTACTACTTGGAGAGTCCATTTCGGAAAAGCCAGAACTGTGCATAGTTATTTGGTGTGGGCACCAACATGTACAAATTACTCAGGTTTGTACCCGTGGAAATTATAGCCTGCATGTGAACAGCTACATGTAAGCCAGACTAGGATCTTGAGTGCAGAAAAACATGCAAAACAAATTCTGGCCATCATTACTCACTCTTTAGCCAACAAAATTCTCCAAAATTTTCATGAGGTAAAGACAAGGTCCTCGGTATTTCACCAGCCAAGTTGGAAGTCTCATTTCAGTTTTTAAAGGAGACCTTTCTTCAACATTTTGCACCTGAGAGTGATGCAAAGTGATTTTAATTTGAAGCCTCAGACTAGACTGGCACATGTCCAACTGTTTGAAAAGATTGACCCTTCAGTGGTCTGGTTGCAGACTGTAGAGATATGTGTGGAAATAGACCAGTACCAGATGTTTCTTTTGACACACTTGGCTGATGCAGCACTAAAGGGGTGTTGGACTAGTTG